CCGCATTTGTTTTATTACACAGATGTGCTTAACTGAAGTGTAATTTTGTTTTTGAAACAAGAATGTGAATATTTTTCTCACAGAAAATGTACAAATTAGCTTTGGAGGAATCGAAGAAGAAGGGTCATGATTTGCGTTTTGATGCCATTCCTATTCAAGCTGCCAAAGCATCCAGAGAGATTGCCAGTGATGTAAGCAGGTTTTTTTATCATGTCTGTATGGATTTGGTAATGGAAAAGAATCAGAATGTTTGTTCCATTGTTCATTAATGTAATACTTTATAGTTTATAGAATAGATAATACTGAAATCCAGTGATTCCACTGCATGCCTTTAGTGCATGGAAGGAATAGATAGCCAGTATTTTTATGCATGAAGTATGTATCACAGCAATAAATAAATAAAATACTATTAGGATTATTTCTATGCCCCCTGTAATAGTTCCATCGATGTCCATGGATGTTCAAGCAGGATGATCAATGAGGCATATAAGTCTATGCTAGAATTAGTCAAATTAATTTCTGATTAAAAATAGGAAATACTTTAAAATCTCTCCCCCAAATAGATTTATTAGTAAATCAATTCTAAAAGTTCTAAATTGTGGTCTTTTCCTGAGGAGAAAATAGCTCTGTTGAAGTGTGATATTGAAATTCAAGATGTCTGAATACAAAAACAGGAAAAAAATATGCAATGACTATGACAGGTTTTGCTTCTGGGATGAGGAAACATCACTAAGAGACAGAGGATAAGAGATTTTTATGCTCCTTGTTTTTCTATCACGACTGATATTTAAACTGTTAGTATTAAGACCAACTCAGACTGTCTTCATCAAGGTGTTTTGTAATAAGCTTTTAAAAGAAGTTAATATTTACATTTTCATCTTAATAGTAAAAAAATGTGGGATATCAAAATTGTTAGTAAGTATGTGACATTAAATGTTTAGTTAATTGAAAGTGTGATATAGTTATATAAAAAATCAGAGATAATGATATCTGGAATAAAAATCCTTTTTATGTGAAAATTAATAAAAAAGGAGAAAGACCTAAACCACATTTTTTTCTAAACAAAAGACTAATGATTATGTTAAACTGTATGAATTATTAATTTATAAATATACCATATGAATATGAATATACTTTATTTCAGTACAAATACAAAGAAGGCTATCGCAAGCAGCTTGGGCACCACATCGGGGCCCGTAACATAGAGGATGATCCAAAGATGATGTGGTCGATGCACGTAGCCAAGATCCAGAGTGACAGGGAGTATAAGAAAGCTTTTGAGAAGACAAAGACACACTTCAGTAGCCCAGTGGACATGCTGGGGATTGTGCTGGCCAAGAAATGTCAGGAGCTGGTTAGCGATATTGATTACCGCCACTATCTGCATCAGTGGATCTGTCTGCCAGACCAGAATGATGTTATCCATGCTAAGAAAGCCTATGATCTACAGAGTGATGTGAGTAAATCATAAAATTTGTAAAACATAATTAAATATACTGGGTCTTGTACATTATAATTTCAAAAAGATACATAGTCGCTTGCATCAGACATGTTGATAGAGGTGAAATAATTAATATTCTATCATCAAATTTATGCTTAATCATATATTCTCAGTCCTCAGCCTGAGGTGTAATTTGTGTGTACCTCTGGTATTTGTGGAGCTCTTCAGTAACTCTATTCTTTTTGTTATTTAATAATTATTTTAATAAATCTTCAAAAATAACAATTGTTTTCAAAACTATGTCCTGAAATATATAAAATTGTTCATGTAGACTAGGATATGCTTATTTATAATTATTTTAATATTTGATCACACTTGCACATATATAATGAACTTTCAAATTTTTTCAGGCTGTTTACAAATCAGACCTGGAATGGCTAAGAGGTATTGGATGGGTTCCTATTGGTTCCATGGAAGTTGAGAAAGCCAAGAAAGCTGGAGAAATCCTGAGTGAAAGGAAGTATCGTCAACCAGCAGACCAAATTAAATTTACTAGTGTGACAGATTCTTTGGCCATGGTCTTAGCCAAGCAAAATGCTGAGATAATGAACAAGGTGAGGTTTTTGGTTTTTTGGGTTTTTTTTTTTTGCAAAATCACTAGTATTACTAGCTAATATAAATTGTTCATTATGTGAAAAATACAAAATACAAAGACTAAACACTGCCATTGTGGACTTGGAGAAAATAAATGTCCAAATTCAGCCTTTGCACAGGAAAGCTCTTATCTCAGGGGTCTGTCTGAACTGAAAACTTAGTAAAAATGTCTAGAAAAAATTCACTTAAGTCAGATATTTTTCAAGAGTAATACTAAAAATTTTGGTGAATTTCCCTCTTCCTCCCATCTCAGCTGAAATCCTATTTTAAAATGTTTGTTTGATATGTTTTTTCTGTTTTTTTTTTTAATGCTACTTCACTATACAAAGCTCATCTCTGACAGAACAGGCTAAATTTTTTTGCAGTTCTTGGACAATACTGTGAAATCTGCAGAAAATTATGTTCCAGCAAGGTGTTAGGGCATGTTCAGAGGTGATGGTGCCGTGACCATGCTATAAGATAGGAAGTAGCAGAATACTGAGGCTTTTACAGCAGCTGCTATAATGATGTATTGTTGACTGAATGTCATACTGCATGAACAAGTTATGAGGAAATAGCTTATGTTCTCTGGAAGTGAAGCTTCTGAATTTATCTCAGACCTGGAGGATGAAAGTCACAAAATACCTGCTCCTTCTCTTTAATAAGAAACATCAGTCAAACAACTCATACAGATACAGCAGAATAATGAATATAGTTTTCCTCCTACAGCAGTTTTCCAGCAATCCTAAATCAATGAATTGTTCTGCCAACTTAGCCTGAGAAATAATGAGGAAGGACAAAGCTGCTTTCTTGAGCTGTTCAGTGAGAAGCTTTGCTATGACAGGGTAGTCAAAGCTTGCTTGAACTACCCCTCACACTTTGGAAAATACTTTCTTTGGACAAATATATTAGTTTTGTTATATATATCTTGTTCTGCTTTAAGATTACTTTTCTTGTATATTATGGATATCTTTTTGATAACTATTGCTTTCAAATTTGCAGTCTTTCCATCATGACACACATAAAGAAACTTTTTAAAGGAATGTGTTTTCCTCTCTCTAGCGTTTATACACAGAAGCCTGGGATGCAGACAAAACATCAGTTCACGTCATGCCTGACACACCGGATATTTTGTTAGCGAAGGCCAATGCAGCTAATGTTAGCCATGTAAGAACATTTAAACATATACTGAAGTAATGGAAATTCAGAAATTAAGTAAGGATTTCTTTAACCATAATGATCTTCTAAAATATGCATTCATGAAAATTTTAAGAAAATAATTATGAAATGTAGAAATTCCATATTTCTGAATATTGAGAAGCCATTTTCTGTCTTCTTTTGTGTAGAAACTTTATATACAAGCCTGGGAAGAGGCCAAAAAGAAGGGTTATGATATGAGGGCTGATGCAATTCCAATCCGAAGTGCAAAGGCATCAAGAGATATTGCAAGTGATGTACGTTTTTCCTTTACGTTTATTTTCTATTAGCTTGAGAAACAAGATTGAAGTAATCAGCTATGTACAACTTAAAAAAAAAAAAAAAAGGTATATCAGATTCATCTTGAAAGCCTGTTAACAAAGAATTCACTGCAGAAAGAAACTGGACAACAGTCTCCAAAAGGAACGTTGAATTATAAATCCTGACATTAAGCAGATATTAGAAAATAATAAACTACAATGAAAATAAGCAAAATCTGTGGATCAAGAATGCATTAGACATTTCTAAACTCTAAATGAGTATATTTCATAACATAAAAAAAACCCATTTGTCATCAGAAGCAATAAGAAATTATGGGAAATTCATCCGAGATTCACTGTTTCATTTAATACTTCTTTTTGCATTTCTAGTACAAGTACAAAGAAACGCACGAGAAGCAGAAAGGCCACTACATCGGGTGCCGAACTGCCCAGGAGGATCCCAAACTGTCGTGGGCTGCGCGTGCCATGTTGCTGCAGAATGACCGAATTTACAGGAAGGCGTACCATGACTCAAAGGCCCAGATCCACATACCAGTCGACGCGATGTCAGTGCAGGCAGCCAAGGAGTGCCAGAATCTAGTCAGTGATGTTGACTACCGCCAGTACTTTCACCAGTGGACCTGTCTGCCTGACCAGAATGACGTGATCCATGCAAGGAAGGCCTACGACCTGCAGAGTGATGTGCGTATTTGTAGAGATGTGGTAGTAACAACTGTTGCTATGTAATAGATTATAGCCTTATTTCGATGGTTTGATGATATACAGTCACAAAGGATTTATCTTTAGACTGTTTTCTTCAGTTTTTCATGTTACTGCTATTATCTGCTCTTTTTCATCTTTTAAAAATCATTCATATAACCTCTAAGTTTTATAAAATGTTATCTGCTGTTTTATATATGCTTTTGGCGTATTGTGATTTGGAGAGGATGAAGATATGTCTCTCTTGCTTTGATGGGACTTATGAAATAACATCTGTTTGCTACTTTGGAATCAGTTGGCTTTCGTTACTCCTGTTTAGCTGAGTCCACTTGGAAATTTATTTAATTGCAAGAAAACTGGGTAACATAGCAGGTAAGATGTTTTAGTGGCTGATTTCAAAGCAGGAAGGAATCAGTGCAGCTGATTTCCTGACTTGGCTTTTCTGTTTATCAGTCAACATCAGTCATTCTTCCTCTGTTTCAGTTACGAGTTTTGGAGGTGAGATTCGTGTCCCTCGCTGAAGTATTTGCTCAATTAAAACTTAAATAATGTTGCCGGATAGCACTTCAGGAATTATGCCAGTTAGCTCTAGTCCCCATTACCTCTATAACTGGGTTTTTTTCCTCCTTTTTGTGAAATTTTCTGGTGGGCAGCTTGATGTTTTGTTTGGACTTGTAAATTGTTGAAGTGACTAGAGGGGACAGGAAGGCTCTTTTAAGTTCCTAATACTCATCATCATTGACGGCAATTCTGTTCAGTTGTTTCCCCTCTATTTAACTTCACAGGTTTTAGAATTCATTGTTTAAGAAATGAACTACTTAAAACCAGGTTCCCAGGTTGTATTTTACTTATGACAGTGAACATCTTTTGTATATAAAAAGGATTAATGTATCTCTAGCTGATTTGACATTTTCTAAAACATACACTGCTTTGTATAATTCAAAATAATTAAGACAGTCATTTTAAACACAATGTTTTCCTTTTCTGACCATGTCTGATACAGGCTGTCTATAAGTCAGACCTAGAGTGGCTTCGTGGAATTGGCTGGTTGCCTAATGACTCTCCGGATGTTAAGAGAGTGAAGCGTGCCCAGGATCTCCTGAGTGATAATGTGTATCGTACACGTATTGAAAGCCTGAAATACACCAGTGTTGTTGATTCTCCAGATGTTCTTCTAGCTAAAGTGAATGCCGAACAAGTCAGCATTGTACGTTACAATGTTCTTAAAGCTGTTTCAAGGCTACAAACAGTTAAAGAGAAATATCACTGCTAAAATATAAAATTGATCAGTGGTATTTTAAGTCAAGTTTAATGCTTTTCCAGAAATTGTTTTTTTAGAGATGATAATTCAGGAGATATTTATGGGATTTTATGTTACTGACAAGTGATTCCATAATTACAATATCATAAAATGAACTATTTTAACAGCCAAAATACAAAGAAGCCTGGGAAAAGGACAAGACTATGATCCATATTATGCCAGACACACCTGAAATCAACCTAGCCAAGACTAATGCTGTTAATTATAGCCAGGTATGCTTATCATTCTATTTTCTACATTTTTATAAAATAATGTGTGTATTTTGTGAATTTTACCATTCTAAGATGTTACTTACAAAGTTGACGATTAAGTCACATGAATCTCATTGAAGTCTGTCCTCATACAGGGCTTGCAACATTCTCTTCTCTCTGCTGAGTATTCTTAAAGTATTCAGACATTTTAAAATAAATGCTTGCATACAGCTGTTTAAAAATCATTAATATCACGCACCATTGAGATAATATCTTGTTGTAATGGATGAGAACCCAAGGCATATAAATATTTTCTGAACTTTTACAAACACCCTTCTGTGCGGTATAGGTTACAAAACTGGTTGCAGGTACTGTACATGTTTGAAAGGCAGTAAGATTTGCAGCAGTATTTATGGCTAGGAGCAGGAGTAATGCACAGAAGATCCTCACGATATTTCAGCAAACAAATGGCAGTAAACTATGTGTTTCTTTAATGGCAAGTGCCAGAGTATTTAGCATATGTGTGACATTTTGCTGTCTTTTCAGAAACTGTATAAAGAAGCTTGGGATGAGTTGAAGACGAGTTGTGATTTGAGAGCAGATGCAATCCCAATCAAGGCAGCCAAAGCTTCTAGAGAAATTGCTAGTGATGTAAGTGCCAAAAGAGGCATCTAGCTCTTTCCATATTTTAAGAGTTATTTCATGATAACTGTTAGTAATGGTGATCTTTGCTCTTCACACAGTATAAATACAAACTGGATCATGAGAAGCAGAAAGGACATTATGTTGGAGTTCCAAATGCAAAAGCAGATAAGAAAATGGAGTTTGCCCTCGGCATAGGCAAAGTTCAGAGTGAACTAGAATACAAGAAACACTTTGCCAAATGGAAGACACAGTGCCACCTACCAGTAGACATGCTATCTATCATAGCGGCTAAACATGGTCAGTCTTTGGTCAGTGATGTTGATTACCGTCATTACTTGCATCAGTGGCTCTGTCTTCCAGATCAGAATGATGTCATACAGGCTAGGAAAGCCTACGATCTTCAGAGTGATGTAAGTTAACATGAAAACTTAGTTTAACTTATTACTGTATTGTCTCTTCTTAGTCTGCTTCAGCTCTAAGTGGTAGGAATCTTCTGCTGAATTCAGTGAATTGGCTTTGCTGTTTATTAGGAATGCAAAGTATATGCCAGTGTTATATATTGCCAAGTTTGAAGTGTGATAAATTCAGATATAGTGCTCATGTTGGAATTACTGCTCTCCTTTTAACCAGTGGAAGTGCCTTTATTTATCAATCTTGCTGGATTGTACAGGGAACTGTAGCTAACAGCATGGACCCTATTTTGTTTTCCCAGGCTATTTACAAATCTGATTTAGAATGGTTACGGGGTATTGGATGGTTGCCAAATGATTCGGTTGGAATCAACCATGTCAAATATGCTGGAGATCTCTTGAATGAGGTAACAAAATGTTTTTCAATAAGAAAATTTTTTTAAGGGTAGTTGTAATTTAAAGTCTTTTTAATGGTTAAATACATTAATATTTTTTTAAAATAAAAAGTACAACTGGAGTACTTCCACAGCATTCGCTGTGTATGGAGAGTTTTTCCTTCTTGTCCTGTCTATGTATTCAGAATTGCTGTGTTAGCTATAAAATATTCCAGTATAATCTGACTGTTCATCTTTTCTCCTGTATAGAGAAAGTACCGTACAAAAGTCGAAACTCTTCCATTTACTCCAGTGGCGGACAGAGTTGATTATATCACAGCAAAGAATAGTGGTGAAATTCGTAGTGATGTAAGTTTGCTAGCATGTTTCTGGGCTGTTAATTTGATCTGTATCTTTACATGGTAGGATTTTATCTTTAAAAGGACATTTATTTTATCTTTTTTAAAAAATGCAAAAGAATTCTCAATCAGTCTCTGGGAATTCTGTGAACATATGACATAAAGATAAACAGGACTTTATTAGCTCATCTCCATCACTTATGAGGGAAGAAGCTCCTCGAGCAGAATAACATCATGCCTAGACATGTGATAAGCCAGTGCTAGTTCTGCAACCAGCCCCTTCTTTCAGCCTTGGCCGATATCATTGGTGATCATTGACAACATGAACATAAATAGCACTTGCACTTTGGCAACCATAATGTTTAATCCTTCTCACTTATGCCAATATGAGTTTACACTTTTTAGTTAACCACTGTGTAACAATAAACATGAGCAAAACTGGTGGTGCTCTCAGCTTGCCTTTCTTTTTTTGTCTTTGAAGTCTAGTCTGTGAGAAGCTGATCTGTGAACATGAAATTACATGACCCTGTCTCAGTTCATGAGTTTGTGTTTCTTTTTTGCTGCATGCTTCTGTTACAGAACAGGCCAAGCTAAACACTCACATTAACTCAGACACTGGTAAAAGGTTGGCAATAACAATGGTACGGTTGAATCGAATGGCATACTGCCATGCAACCACATACACACATTTGGGCATGTCCTGTGCTTGGGAACATGACTCAGTGTAGATATCTGTGGTTGAGAGATGCTAGAATGCTGCATTCACAGAGGGATCATGCTTAGTAAAGAGATTTGCTCTTAAAAAGCTTAAAATCTATTGCCCTGGTTTGAACACTTCTTCCTTGGCTATTGGCTGTACATCCCTGTAGATCAAACAGCTAGCATACCTTTGACTTCTGAAGATTATCCTCTGTCCACCTGCCTTGGAACAAGTTTTCAAAATTTTCTCAGAGAAATTTTGTAATTTCTCGTCTTGTATAATTTCCTTTTTTAAAAAAATACCCATTTGGATGTATATTTAATGTGTCATGTTTAATAGCCTTGCAAATTCAGGGGTTTATACATTATTTCATGCATAAAATATGGGTCTTGGCATTATGTTTTCCCAATTTCGTGATGATGCTGCAAGGCAGTCATTTCTTTCTCTGTTCTAGATTAAATACCACAAGGCATGGAATGAGGTCAAGTCAAATTATACTCTAACAGATACGCCACAGCTAGATATGGCCCGAGAGGCAGCCAGAATTCTTAATCAGGTATGTGATCTCTCCTTGACAGTTTATACTCACATTAATAACTCTTTCAAGCAATTTAGAAAACTTGCCTTATTAACATCCTCAGGGAAGGATTTATAATCCTTACACTTTAATATAGCTTACATATATATGGTAATAATTATCATTATAGTAGTGTTGAATTCCTCCTCACTTTTATTTTCCACAGAATTTATACAAGGAGAGTTGGGAGAAAGAAAAAGCCACTGGTTACCTCTTACCTCCTGACACTGTGCAGATCTGTCATGCCAAACACTCAAACGATGTCCAAAGCGAGGTAATAATTTTTCTCATTAGGAAGGCAAGTGCTTGGAAACCTGGAAATGTTAAAGGCCTTGCAAATTCAACAACAGACACAGAAAGCTTTCCATTAGGGGTAACATCCAGTAGACTTTTCATGACCCATGAAGTCCACTGTCCTCCAAACAATTCAGCCATCTTTGTTATTATGGGTTTTACAGATATCAGCGCTGAAAGGTTAGATTCTCCTTTCCACCTTCGCTTTCTTCAGAAACAGTCCTTTCAAAATCAACTAAGGTGGACTTCCATATTTTATAAATGTTAAGTAATTGAAGTGATACTATGATTATAATATATAACTCTGATTTCACCTTTTGGCATATTATGGAGGCTTCCTCCCTGAAAAACTGTAAAATGGTATGCACATTACATTTTAAACTTTTCCATAATGGATGTTAAAATTATTACATTACTCAGTTTGAATATACATTTTATCAAAACAGTGTGATATAAATAACTTAAGCATTCACTCTTCAGACAGTTTCAAATAATTTGTTACAAAAATTTATTACAAAACTGAGGCTAAATCCACTTATTAGCAAACATTTTCTAACAAGGCGTTCCTCTTACGTTGAAAATACTGTTCACTGAAAAATGGTAGTATATTTGTCTAGAAAATTGTATATTTTGAAGTGGAAGGACTATACAAAGTAACATTACTGTTTGTGTCATATTTTTATTTGGTCATGTACTGAAAACCTAAGACTGCAGTTGACCACTCCCTTTCTCATCAATTATTTGTGTTGATGAAACCATAGCTGTTCACGGGTTAAAAACAGAGCAGGTACAATCAGTGTTGATTTTATATGTATTTCTCCCCTCTTCCATCAGCTTAAATACAAAGCTGAATACGTCAAACAAAGAGGTCACTATGTTGGAGTTCCCAGTATGAGAGATGATCCAAAACTGGTGTGGTTTGAGCATGCAGGCGAGATCCAGAATGACAGGTTGTACAAATCAGACTATCACAAAACAAAGGCCAGAGTTCACATCCCTCCGGATATGGTGTCAGTTGTAGCAGCAAAGGAATGTCAGACCTTGGTCAGCGATATTGACTACCGCCAATACCTGCATGAATGGACATGCCATCCTGACCAGAATGACTGTATTCAGGCAAGGAAGGCCTATGATCTGCAAAGTGATGTAAGTGATATTACATACCTCCTATGTAATTTCCACTTGGTTTGTTCTAAGTATATCATCCATATTACGTAAGACTGAAAAATATCATCCTAAATTAAATAATTTATTTCCTTTTTTATTATGTTTTATGATTTAGAATATTTATAAATCTGATTTGGAATGGCTTCGTGGCTGTGGTTGGATTCCTCTGGATTCAGTGGAACATAAGAAAGTTAAGAATGCACAAGAACTGATAAATAAGGTAAGAGAAAATATTTTAGCCATTACGTGATTAGCTGTTCTTTCTCATGCACCGTGTTTAAGAAAATATTTCATCTCTTTGCAGAGAGCATATACAAAAGAAGCCCTTGATAATTTTTCCAATTATACCAGTGTGGTTGACACTCCCGACATTGTTTTGGCAAAGATTAACTCTGTCAATCAGAGTGATGTATGTACTTTTTTAAAAATAGAAACTATTATATTACTAGAATTAGTAGATTACTTAATTGCTTTTGCTAAACTATACTGTGTTTAGCCTTATGTATGTGTGTGTGTGTGCATATGCATGCTTCATTAATAATAGACTTTTACTCGAGTAAATAAGTTTAGTAAGAAGTGCTATAAATGAACAACACAATATTGCTATCCAGAATAATTTTGTATTTTTCTGTAGAAGAATATAGCATGTCCCTTATTTAGAGTTTACATAGATTTTGATTGTATTAGTTTAAAATTGAGTCCTGTTCTCTGTGAATAGCGGTTAGTTGTATAATGCTACTGGAGTTCCTGCTGCTGCTACTAACATGTATTTGCTGATCGGTATGTTTAATTTCACTAGAATACTGTGTGGATTTTGTGGTGTGACATACTGATGACATTGGCCTGTGTGTAATAGTGGTTGTGACATACTACACAACATTACTGAAGATATGATAACATAACAGAAAATTAATGTCTACTTCTAATAGATGGACTAGCTGGAATAATTTATTTCTCCTGTGGAATTAACATTGTGTTTGTTTTCCTTTGTAGTTAAAATACAAGGAAACATTTAACCTTGAAAAAGGCCAGTATATTGGGTCTGATGATACTCCTGCGCTGAACCATGCCAAAGATATGTCCTTACTATACAGTGATGTAAGATTCAATAAATATCTAAGCTTTAATTTGTTTGTTTTGAAAGCAACAGAATGTGGAGTGGACTCTCGAAAACTGTTCTATTTCTGTTTCTGTCATTAGTCTGCTGGGTGGCACTGGGAAAGTTATTTAATCTCTTTTTTCTTCAGTTTTTCCCTGTTTGGATCATTGGGATAAAGATAATTTCTTTCCTTATTGAACTGATCTTGAAGCACTGCTGTGTGGTGTTTGGAATTAGTATTAGCAGTATCAGTAGTAGTAGTAGTAAGTTTGTGTGACAAAACAAATTTATAATTCCATCCAATAATATCTTCCTAGACTACTGATAAAATTTACATTTATTTTTTATGAGAGGAAAATTTTAGATGATTTGTGTTAAGCAGTTATATTTGAGTAGTCTCACTAATTTTAATGAGAAATTTCTATTTTTTGAAAATATAAGTGGCTACTCATTCATACTACTAGGTGCTTCATAATTTAGTCTGAAGGTAAATATGATGCATTAGAAAAGTGCCACTGACACAGTCAATGCTCTTATAATAAACAATAGTATTACTTGAAGATTTTTCAGAGTTTTGAACATGTGTTTTTAAAATTATTAATGTCATTTCTATACCGCACTTTTAAACAAGAGTTCATATCTACATTTTGGATATTTTACTCTTCCGGATGAGAAATGTTGAATTCCGAATATAGTAAAGAAAGCAGAGATCAGCTCAAATTTGTGCTCAGGTACCTTCCTGAATTGGAACACTTACTTTGTTGGCCTTACTCACAATGAATAAGTGTTCAAAATGAGTATTCTTCATTTGCTCTATTGGGACAATTCATGGAATAAGGAACTGCGCTATAGAAGTAGTCATATTCCATGTGCATATAAATGGTAGAGTTGGGTTTCTTGGAAAGTATAATGGATTTTTTTATCAAAAGCCATATGTGTTTTGTTTGTCTAGAAACTCTATAAAAAAGCTTGGGAAATCAGCAAGCCCATTGGATATACTTTGGATGAGAAATATATTCCAGTTGTTGGAGCGAAGCGTGCAAACTACATAAATAGTGAGGTTAGTATGAGTTTTCCATTCTTTCTCTTTTTTTCCTATATGTTGTTAGAATGAACTTTAAAATTTCCACATTAATATTTTGCAGCTTAAATATAAGGAAATATATGAGAAGCTGAAAGGCCATTACCTGGCTGGGAAGGAGATTGGTGATTTCCCTAGTGTCATTCATTCGCTAGCATTCCAGAAAATGAGGAGCGCGGTAAGGAGAGGATTAGTCTTGCTGTAGTATCTTCCATTTTCTTTATTTTAGTGTGACATATTTAAACATAAATAATGCAATGCTTAATAACATCAGTAGAAGTGTTTTCAATGTTTGTTTCCTGAATGGTTATTTTCTACATGGGTTGAATAATTGAACTTGAAATGATGTAGATTAAGAAGGGATTTGCTTAGCTATTACGCATATTAGAATAGAGAAAAAAACTTTTTTCTATTTCAGTTTAAGAATCTGAGCAGTAAGAAATACTGCATGTAAAAAAAAAAAGTGTTACTATTGAATTGAAGTAGGAATTTAAGAACTGGAAAAGTAAATGCACATTTGGTATTTTGTTATTATCACCACTGCACATATAGCATGTCATGCAGGGCATAAAGTTAGTATAATCCCAAATATTCTATCTTCATTCGGACAGGGAGTTTTAACTAGGTTAAAAACATGTTTGTAGAATGTGACTTTTTTTATCTTCAAGTCTTGTTAATTAGCTCACCAGCTGTTAAATCTGTAAGAAGGTCATTCAGAATAAGTCATCATTAATACCGAAGTTAAGATTTCATCCTACTGAATCCCATGGGAGCTTAGCTGCTAAGTCCAGAAAGCATGTCTCAGATTATGCTATAACCTGTAGCCTATTATAGTCAAAATTATGTGGAAAACCACTTCTCTCTTCTGACCTTTTCCCCAATCTTTCCTTTTTAGTTGGCATACAGAAAGAATTATGAAGACACCAAAGCAAATGTCCATATTCCAAGTGACATGATGAATCACGTGCTAGCCAAGAAGTGCCAGTATATCCTCAGTGATCTTGAATACCGAACTTACTTCCATCAGTGGAATTGTTCACCTGAAGAAAATGATGTTGTTCAAGCCAGAAAAGCCCAGGAAATTTTGAGTGATGTATGTGTTTCATTTATTTGTTTCATATTTTAGTAGCCTTTCATGTCATTTTTTCCAAGGTATTTAAATATAAAATACTTTCAGATATCTTCCATAGTATTTAAATATGAAATTAATAACCACGGTCTTAGATTGCTTAGTAGCATGGTACCGAAAATTACATTTTTACAGTTTTCTTCGGGACATTTTAATGGTCTGGTTGTTTAGTATTCATTTGTAAATTGGAAAAATTTTAAGTTAACGTTTATGAAACCTTCCCAAAGGTCACTGCTATAAACACTTACTCTCTTTTTGACTGGATGAGACTGTATAGAAAGCTTACCATCTGGCACATGCAGGGAAGAGATGTGGATGTACCATGGTACAGTCAGAATGTTGCTACACTGCAGTGATCCTTATGTATTGTAATTGGGAATGTTGTAATGTGCACAGGGGCCAGGACAGCATCCACAGTCCTCCTGGATCCAGTGGGTCTGGAGAAGACTCCTCTGCATTTGTTCGGGGTTGAGCGAATGGCACACTGAACTACGACACTTTTTCATAGTACATAGTCAACAGTATCTCAACTTGGGCCAACCAACCTTCCTAATAAAATCTGATGATGTATTAATTGCCTGGCCTATTATTATGCTGTATCATTTCGTTTAGTTTCCCTTGCCGATCCTGTGGGTAAAAATCATTGAGTCAAACTGTGATGGGCTAGTCTTCTCTGTGCTCACATTTAAGCTTCCAAATAGATTGGAATTACTGAATGAGCCTGGTTCAGATTCAGTGGTAACCTTCTGCATTGAGTTTGCACAAGTGGAAGATACTGAATATAGAGAAGAAACAAATACTACTTTCTTCAAGCAGACAGCAAATTTCTTTCTAACTAAATAGTCTGTTTTCTTCCATATAGGTGGTGTATAAAGATGACTTAAATTGGCTGAAGGGACTTGGATGTTACGTCTGGGATACTCCACAAATCCTGCATGCTAAAAAATCCTATGACCTCCAGAGCCAAGTAAGTGTGGTTTCCTCAAATAAGTAAATATTTATAAGATTTTGTTCTTCCATTTATGATTCACTGGGACTGACACCTGTCCTAGTCCAGAGCAGAATGAAGTAATTCCTATTACATCAGAAATATTTTGTTCAAACCATTGTAATGCGCCTTTCAGTTTCATCTGTAGAGACATGATCGCTTTTGTTATTGAAGGAGCAGAAAACTTAGGAGAATGGAAGGACAGCAAGGTTGTGTGTTTTAACAGTGAGAAGATAACATTTTGTTTTTCTGTATGCCACCCTGTGCACAACATATTTCAGCGAGTCATTTATGTTGGGAAAATAGTGTCTCTTGCCCTGCTAATTGTACTCTTCGCCTACTAGATGCTGTAGAGTAGTGTGCAATTTTCATTATTCCTTAGTTCATACTGCTATATATTAAGTATTTCTTTTCTATGACCTGTCACTTTTAAAGTTGGTCTTAACTACACCTTAATCCTGGGCTTCAGTTGTTTAGAATTGATTTTAAAGGAAGCTGGCAGGGAATTTCCTGGTCATTTTCAGCATTAATGTTTGTTTTGTTTTGTTTTGTTTCCTTAGATAAAATATACAGCAGCAGGAAAAGAGAATTTGCAGAACTTTGGTGTTGTTACTGACACACCTCTCTATGTGACTGCAGTGCAGAGTGGTGTAAATGCTAGTGATGTGAGTCTCCCCACTTTTTCTACTCAGGCTTTTCCCCATGCTCCTTCTGAGAATTGAAACAAGTTAACTGAATCTGTCTTTCATATTACAGGTGAAATACAAGCAAGATTACCACAAAACGAAGGACAAGTATACAACTGTGACTGAAACAGTGGATTCTGAAAGAGTTCAAAATTTGAAACATCTCTTTAGCAATGTAAGTATTTCTACACATTTTTTTTTCTCTTAAGGTGCTACTGTGTGGGATATTTATTTTGTTTGTTCACTCTGAAGATAAATGTCCAAACATGGATCTTATCAAAGCTAGTGATAGTCCTCTGCATTGCTTGAGTATGGGGAAGATGCTGTATTTCAGGCAGAGGGCATATTTTCTTACTGTAGTTCCAGTCTCGTCAAAATACATGCATTAATAAATGGATTCCCTGAAGAAAATTGCAGCTGAACAAAATTAAGACCTTGTATGAGAATGGGCATGAATGGTTAGAAAGCATTTTTATCACCCTTTATGTGCACTGTCAAGATTAAGCTAGTGTACAGCCTTTTGATATTAAGTAATAGTTATGGCGTATAAATAAAAACAGACGGGCTTTTCATTTCTATTGGTCATTGGTTATTACCCAGGAGAAGAATTTTTCCGCTCACAGAGACTTTCTATTTCCCCATAGAATCTCTACAAGAAAGCCTGGGAAAAAGTGAAAGCTACTGGCTATCTAATGCCCTCTGATGCTGTATCCCTAGCTCGTGCAAAAGAACTGAAGCATAATGCTAGTATTGTAAGTGTATAAAATATTTTCTTTTTTTTAATGAGATCATCAATTCTAGCAATGAAATGTTTAATGCCTTGCATATCCTGTAGGTATAAAAAAGGGGTTTTTAAATTATCTTCTCTTTTTAATTTAGATATAATATGTATCTTTAGATAATCAGCTTTCTGTGATAATCATTTGGATAACAGTTAGTCCCTTGCTGCTTCTTTTCATGGAAAAAATATCACATTTTATAGTAATAGAAACTGTTTCTTGAAAATGTCTGGTTAGGTTTTTTTTTTTTAGTCTAAATTGCATAAGCATGCAGGTCAGAAAAACACCAAATGTCTTTAAATGATGCTTTACCAAGTATAGAAGAACACAATCTTATGCTTTACTGAACTGAGGCTTATGAGAGGTCACTCTCTTCATGGCTACCTTTAAATGAAAGAGCTGGAAAAATAATTAAATAGCTTATTCTACTTCTATTTTCTTCTAGTCAACTTGTTATTTTTACAACATGATAGTTATGAAGTGCTTTCTTTGCCATTTAAAATAAATAGAATACCAAGATCCTGCTTTAAAGGCTTTCTCTGCTTGTTGGACTCAGTTAAATATTTTGCTTACTGTTGAACTTTGTTCCAAAAATACAGTTGATTCATGGAGTCAGTTATTTGCTGCCTTTCTTTGCATCTGCTTAGGTAAAATACCGAGAAGAATATGATAAGTTTAAAGCACTGTACACGCTACCCAGAGGTGTTGAGGATGATCCCAATACAGCAAGGTGCCTTAGAGTTGGAAAACTTAATATTGATGTAAGTGTTGTTTACTGATCTGTGTTTTCCTGATAAAACCATACTTATCTCAGAAGAGGCTACTCAAAGGATCCACGTGCCTTCATTCAGATAGCACATTTCCACATCATTTGGCAGTGTTCAGTATTTGCTAAATTCTATAATACACCTACAAATGTCTTTTCAAGCCTGTGACTAAACTGTTAAATTGCCTGCATGGCTAAACCTTTAGTGTAGTATGTTTATGTATAAAACAGAGCACTACATAGTCTACCTCCTTTTAACAAGTGAATACAGTGAAAACTTGACAAATCACATTTTAGCACCACTGTTAAGGTTCTGCAAATTATTTTTAGAGCAGGCAAGTTGTAAATTTTAGTCATAGCCAAAGTAATTGCTCTCCCACTAACATTGCATGAAAATATCAATAATTTTGCTTCAAATTTATTAGTAGTTAATGCTTTAGACTATTTGTCCACATTATTAATGTACTGCTTTAACTCTGTAGCGTCTGTACAAGGAAGTCTATGAAAAGAATAAAGCCAAGATCCACATTATTCCCGACATGGTGGACATAATTTCTGCTAAGGATGCACAGAAAAAAGTCAGTGAAATTGATTACCGCACACATCTCCATGAATGGATCTGTCTTCCAGATCTTCAAATCAATGCCCATGTTCGAAAAGTAACTGATCAACTCAGTGATGTAAGTTCACAAATCATGTGTTTGTGGCTCACTTTTAAAAAAGATTCTTGCATTTATGCTCTGTTAGAGGAAATGATTTAGCAAAAACTTAGTTGGAGCACTCTGAAGTTGCCACTAGGATCCGTTGTATTATGCACTGCTAAATAGCATCTGTATCATGTTTTTGTAACACTTGACAATAAGTACATAGTTGAGATACGGCTTAGTATGCATAATTTCAGTGTTATCAGTGTAGGCATTGGGTCATAACATTACAGTTCTACCAGTTCAGCCATCCCTGTCTGTAAATCGTCCTTTATTATTTGGTTGCATAAGATGTGGAAACTTTGGAAGTTTGAGAAAATCCTGGTGGTGTAAAGCTTCTACGCACTTGGCTTGCATAGGTCAGTCCAGGAGTAGGCCAGCAATCTATCAGTAAATCATTGCCCAGTAGAATATGCAAGTAGTTTTTTTAAAAATCGTTGTGTTTTTTTTATTTATTGGCCAAACTGAAAAAATGAAGAAAAATTATTTAAATTCCCAAAGGAATTGTTTTGATATTCTCAAGCCAAAAAAAAGTCAAAATACCGGAAACTTTACTTGCCATCATTTGACAGTTGTGTTTCACACTGATTTAGCAATAAGGGATTAGATCCTAGTGGAAGTCTTACAGATTGTTTCTTTGCTCTGATACATTAGGTGTTATACAAGGATGATCTTAACTGGCTGAAAGGCATTGGCTGCTTTGTGTGGGACACTCCTGAAATTCTCCATGCCAAACATGCCTATGATCTTCGCAGTGATGTGAGTGGATACACTGGTTTTGCTTCTTAGGTTTTTTTTCACTCCACTGTATTAAAAGGATGGAGTAGCTTTATTCTACTCCAGATATAATCTGGAAAATGTTACGTATCCTTCTCTACTGAAGTATTCATTAAAGAACCATATATGGTTATTTAAACTTTACTGCTCTAGAAGTAGATATTGTCAGGTTACATCCCATTCAGGAAAGTATTAAGCATATGTTTGAATACTTGTCTTCTCAGAAAAGCACTTAAAACAGTAATTCTTCATTCAGAAGCCCTGAAGTAAAGCAGAAATGGTGCAGAATTCATATTTTTAAAAAGTATTTTGATGTTGATTTTATGATTTCTTAAGATTTTATTACACATCCTTAGTTTGGGATTAAGCCATTAAAATAGGAGAATAACCATTCTGGGTTTTGAGAATATATGTCCCTTCATAAGTTCTGTATTAGAAGTATGTTGGGTATTTATCATATGGTACATATGCCTATTCTGTGAATGAGTATTGACATTTCCTGATGTTCCTTGATAAAACTTATCAGCTGTTCTTATCTGATGAGGTGCCATGTTCATTTATTCAGCCATAGTTTCAATACACTTCCTGTTTAAATGCTGGTTCACTAGTAGAATAGTTCAGTAATAAAATAAATAGTAAATATAATCAATTCAATTAACAATGACTAGCCTTACTGGTTAGAGCTCTTGAATTTCTCTCTGCAGATTAAGTACAAATCTAAGGCAGAAAAAATGAAAAGTGACTACACTGTGGTCATGGAAACTCCTGTCTATGTCCAGAATGTCCTCAGTGGCTTGAATTTAAGTGAAGTAAGTATTTGTATCACCTTTCACCCCCAATATTGCATATGCCATTACCTCACAAGTTCTAGAAATGTGACTTTTAATATTTTTTAATAATTTTATTTTAATAATTTAATCATTGCTGGTTATCTACAACTCGTTGCCTATGCCCTTATAAAGATATGAGAATACAGTCACTAAAATCATTAGTTGCCTGAATCCAAAAGACTTCCATTCAGTTTTTTAGGAGAAAATCCTGTATGTATGCAAACAATATATACTGTGAGAGAACATCACAATTATGATTCTCCTCTAATTACTTTTTCTTTTTCTCAGGCTGTCTATCGTGGTGAATATATGCACAATGTTAAAGGCAAAATGATTCCTACTGATAAAACAGTAGATTTGGAGCGGGCATATCATGCAAACAAAATACAGAGTGAAGTAAGTATAAAACTTTTGGGCCCACAGAGTTTGAGATATTCAAAAAGCAAATTCTTTAAAAGTTAATGTCTGTAACTTTTCAGATAAAGAAGCTAGATTTCACTGCTCTAAAATGAAAGTGGGAAAATGTCCTCATTTAAGCTACAAGTATGCATTATAATGCAGACATGGGGGAAATCTTTTGCCAATTGTGATTAAGAGATTTCCTATGCAGCTAATGAATACTGTCAAATATTACACACAGTTGTCACAAACTCTCTTTTTCTCTCTTCTCTTGCAGAATTTGTATCGCTGGGCTGGTGTGAATGCTCTACCTACTGGATACACCCTTCCCACAGATACTCCCAGCTTTCAGCATGCTAAACATGTCCAATACATCGGCAGTGATGTAAGTAACGTACTAAGTCCTTCTACAACATGAATTGCAAGGGAATATTTGATGCCCATCCTGTATGAGATATAACTGTTTGAGACAGTTCTTTCTCAGATACGAAATTGCTTGTCAGAGAGCAACAAGAGTGGGGTAGTTCCATGTGGATGCCTGAGCCAGGAACTGAGGGTGACCATGACATAGGCAGTGAGCTCATCATCCACAGTGAAGTCCCACTGTACCTGATTGGAGTGGGCAGAACAGGTTGCTGATAACAGGTTGCATCAACAGTCCCAAACAAGGTGAAGAACTGGGGCCAAGGTCCATCCAGGGGGATCCAGTCAGGAGCTGCAGGAAACAGAGCAGAGATGGGAGACAAGCTACCTACAACATAGGTGCAAGGTAAATCCAGGAGACAGGGCTAGAGACAAGTTACCAATAACACAGGACCAATGTCCATCCAGAAAATGAGGATATAGACAGGGCTGAAGACAGGTGTGCTTATGTTATGGTTTAACCCCAGCCAGCAACTAAGGACCACGCAGCCGCTCACTCACTTCCCCCCACCCCGAGCGATGGGGAGAGAATCGGAAGGAAAAAGGTAAAACTCATGGGTTGAGATAAAGACAGTTTAATAGAACAGAAAGGAAGAAACTAGTAATGGTAGTAATAACAATAATAAAATGACAATAATAATAAAAGGATTGGAATACACAAAACAAGTGATGCACAATGCAATTGCTTACTACTCGCCGACTGATGCCAAGTTAGTTCCCAAGCAGCGATCCCCCCAGGCCAACTCCCCCCAGTTTATATACTGGGCATGACGTCACATGGTATGCAATATCCCTTTGGCCAGTCTGGGTTAGCTGCCCTGGCTGTGTCCCCTCCCAACTTCTTGTGCCCTTCCAGCCTTCTTGCTGGCTGGGCATGAGAAGCTGAAAAGTCCTTGACTTACCATGAACACTGCTCAGCAGCAACTAAAAACATCAGTGTGTTATCAACATTCTTCTCATACTGAATCCAAAACATAGAACTGTGCCAGCTACTAGGAAGAAAATTAACTCTATCCCAGCCAAAACCAGGACAGCTTACAACATAGCTCAGGCAAGGCCTGACATCCCAGGTGTGGCTAGTCAGGGCAATTAAATCTTATTAGTGCACTCAAGCCCCAACATTGGTAATGTGTGCCTTAACAGAATTTAAATGTTACCAAAGCCAATAATTATCTGAAGCAATTACTATCAAAATATAAATTTCCTCAGGCAGATGCAAATATCTTATTAGATGCAAGAGAAATTTAAAACGTTATTAATCTTGGGCCACATAACAGTAAAAATAATGATGACATGATGTGTAGTGTATTTAACTATGATATAGCTAAATCTCATGTGTTTATCTCTCAAAAAAATCTTGCTCTCTATACTGCATAAATTACTGTCAGAACTGCAGTGTAAGTAGAATCACAATCAAATTTAGTTTCTCTATGTTTTTATTCCTTTTTCCACTTTATAGCTGAAATATAAAGAAGCCTATGAACACATGAAAGCTAAAGGATATACTCTGGGACCTAAAGATGTTGGGTTTGAAAATGTGAAGAAAGTGAATCAAGTCACTAATGAGGTACAGTAAATATATGTATTTGCTTTCAGTTGTATTTGTAGTGCCCAAAATATGAATGATGAGAGTATATTGACTGGGAATGTTGTAGGGTCCCTGTTCTTTGAGGCTTTTAAGAGCAGTTTAGAAAAATATCCATCAGGAATGGTAGGGGATCATTGATGCAGGCTTGGAGTTGGGCTGTATGGCTCTTTAAAGTTCTTGATAACTCTAACTTTCTGTAATCCTGTAAAACTGTTACCATAATATAAAATAAGCTTAACTTTATTAACTGATCCGCAACTTGATTAAAGTTGCATAGAAATTATTGTATCTGTATGACATTGGGTCTTGATAGTCTTAGGTTTTATATATACGTACTCAGTTCTTTGGTCATTGGCTTTAATAGGACAAAAATTAAACATACATATTTACGTGTCTGTAGGATTAGTGTCTCACATTCTCCATGTATTAGAGGTGCTGCTATCAAAAACAGTTGTGGAAAATCTTTGCCTGGTTAGAAAATAGTATATTTGCTCTGTTTTCTCTGGTAGTTATGTAACACCTAGCAAAAAACCTGCCCTGAAAAGAGAAGTACTTACACTCTGCCAATCTGCTTGCCATTTTAAGTTTTTAACATGTAGAATGTTGTCTCCTTTGATACAGAGGTTGTATCGAGCAACATACCACAAGTACAAGGACAAGATTCATACCACTCCAGACACACCAGAAATCCGTCAAGTCAGAGCAACACAGGAAGCTGTCAGTGATGTATGTGTCTTTCTAACATAAAAAAAAAAAACAGAAGAGATTTAGAATATTCAGCACGACCAACATGTGAAATGCTATTTTTCTCTTTGTCTTTCAGCTGATCTACAAGTCAGATTTCTTTAGGATGCAGGGACACTTGATTTCATTGCCATACACTCCTCAGGTGTTGCACTGCCGCTATGTTGGGGACATCACAAGTGATGTAAGCATCTTCTGTTGAGACACCTGGTATTTGAATACAACAGGTCTAATACTTTTATACTGAAAGTGGAATTTGGCTTCTATCATTTACATTCTATTCTGTAATAGATAAATGCTTTGTAACTGTTCAGGGACTGATTAATGAAATTATCCCAAAAGTTAACTTTTGATTTTTCTTTTTCGAATTGCCTGATAGAATAAATACAAGGAGGATCTGAAGTGGTTGAAGGGCTTGGGTTGCTTTCTGTATGATACTCCTGATATGGTCCGTGCTCGTCATCTGCGTAAGCTTTGGGTAAGATTTTTCTTCTGAGAACCGTGTATAACAATTATTGATTTATTTACATGCATGCTATGTACTTCCAGGAAGTTAAGTACATGAAAATGAGTAAAGACTTATGACAGAATTTCTCGCCATGCAACTAGTTAGTTGTTTCAAAGTGCTGTTAGGTTACACTGTAAAATTTTCTTTACTACCAAGAATAATAACAGCTTCCTAAGTGATACTGCTTTTCTCTTTCAGTCTAATTATATATACACAGATACTGCAAAGAAGATGTGGGCTAAATACAATGTGGTATTGGATACTCCTGGATACAGAGCAGTTCAGGAACTAAAAACCCATTTGAGTGAAGTAAGTTCTGTATTATTTTTGCACATCCTTGTTAGCTATAAGCCCAGACCCTCTCACTGTTTTTTCTGAAATATGTGAGATGTTATAATTGCAAAGCTGTGGTTGTTTGGCTGCTAAATGAACATATGTAACAGAAGAAATAATTCATACACCTGTCTTTTTCCAGCTGGTTTACAGAGCTGCAGGCAAGGAGCTGAAGACAAAATACACTTCCATCCTTGATACGCCTGACTTCTTAAGAGCCAAGCAAGGACAAAAAATACAAAGCCAGGTGAAAAATTTGACTAATTAAAAAAAAAAAACTATCAGGGGATCCCTCTTAATATAGCCTTAAAGTACAGCAAAATCCTTCCAGACCATTTCAAACCAATGTAGAATTTCTGCAGAGGATGTTTAAAGTGACTATTCCTCATTTTTAAGTGGCCATGAATTTTCATATTGACCATGTCTCTGTAATGGACATGTTCGGTTTTGTCCATCTGAAACAGAGCACTGAACCCTGGTACAGTTCTGTTCCAATTCTCTGAAACTCTGACTTCATCAGAGGAATAAATATTTTTATTCATCTACCTTTATCCATCAACATTTCTTTATTGATATAGTAGTTCATTATCTGAGTTACTAGCTACAAATTTTGTGGTATTTTTAAATTTGCAGAACAAAATGAAGATACTCACCAGAGAAAAACAGACCTTATGGATGCTTTTGTTTAAAGCTAGGTCTGGATGTAGGGCAGAGAGGTCATTAATGTCACATTAATTTGACTTCTTGGTTTCTGAGCATGTTACTGGCAGTCACAGAATATCAAGTATGAACTGAGATAGTAAGGAAGAGGAAAGGGCACATTATTTTTTCCTGGGGTAAATCTTGTGGTTATCTATACATTGTGAATTTACAGTCATTTTTCAGAGAGATAAAGTAAAACTTATTTGAAATGTATATTTTTTGATTCTTTTCTTCTTGCTGCAGTACTTGTACGTGGAACTTGCCACAAAAGAGAGACCTCATCATCATGCTGGTGGTCAGACTCCAGCCTTTACCCATGCTAGGCATGTAAAGGACATGGTCAGTGAGGTAAGATATTTGGGGTTTTTTGTTTGGTACCACTATGCTGAACTGTTTAGAAGTTTTATTTCTAATTTCAGTGATAGTTTCAAGGCTCAGATCTGTTTACCCTTCATTTAGTTTTCTGTCTCTTATGCTTAAGTTCCACATTTCTTTTATAAGTTGTGGTAAAAGAGTACACTTATTAATATGTTTTAGTATTTTATAAGATACCTGTTTCTAAGTGCTTGTTTGCAGAATCTGAGGTACACTGGCTGCAAGGCCAGGAAGACCTAGAAAGAGCTGAACAGCTGAGCTTGGTTCCCAAAGTTTTGACAGAAGTGCTTTGCAAGAATGACTTTATGCAGTCAGTGTAGCACCCCTAGGTGTTAATATAATCCCAGATTAGCAAATGCTTCTAAGACTAAAGATACAACTTTTCCCTTTTGCTGTCTCTCTTAGAAAAAGTATAAAACCCAGTATGAGAAGATGAAGGACAAATACACGCCTGTCCCGGACACACCAATCTTGATCAGAGCCAAGAGAGCATACCTGAATGCCAGTGATGTATGTAGTCCATGAACACTTTCACTGCTGCTTCTTTTGGTTTCTTTATGAAAAGAACAGAAAAAGGGTCGATGGAGAACAAGCATGCAAAGCATAGAATATCTCAGTGTGGGTCATACATGAGGTCATCCCATTTGCAAGTACATTTCCATTTGATATTTACAGAGATTATTAAGTTTTTACTTGATGTCACTTTAATGCTTTTTTAAAATTTATTATAATTCATTTTCCATTGCACTGAAGTGTGGTCTTACAACAAAGAAAAATAGATTTAAACTAATTTGCTTACACATGAAATCTCCAAATAGCGCGGACTGGAGTGAAATGATTGATGCTGGAGCCAGGATAGAATATGTTTTATCAGATATTTTCATATCAGTTTTGTGTTACAGTAAACTTGCATGTCACTGAGAATGTGCTCATTTTTTAATTTAGAAGTAGATTAGATAGAAAAATTTTATGAGCTGCTGCACATAAGGTTATTAAGGTGAAATTGATTTTTCCTTCAAACATGGAATAGTGATTTGTGATTTAAGGCAATGGCTAAGAGTACTCTACTCATTCGTGAGATCTTTGCTATATATTTCAGATTGCACGTTGTATCCTGAAAGGATATGTGCTGGGCTGGTGTTTTGTTCTACTGATTAGTCTTACTGCTCTCTTAAGTATGATTTTTAAATACTGCAAAGAAGCATCCCAGTTCTCTTGCACATCTGAATTTCTCTTCAGAGGAAGTCTTTCTCCTAAGACTGGAATGATCTTCCTGCTTTCTTCTAGATCAGGACGTGGAAGAAGGGATAAGTAGTTTTTTATGCTAAAAGTGGCACTTTTGCTGTTCTAGAGTAGTCCTGTGATACATGGATGTTTTTTCCTCAGTATTCAGGCTGAAAGTGAACTGGATGCAATGTTGGTTTAGAGGTACCAACTCCTTTTCTCTCTAATTTTCACCATAAGTCTCAGTCAAATTGCAATTGATTGTAAGCAATTGCAGCATCTCAGGGTTTACATTAGGATGTTAGACAGGAACATATCCCTGGATGTCAATCCTAAGAGGTAGGAAATTTAACTAAAACAATTCCTGACAGATAAATATAATATATTCTTTTATATGTTATTTTTCTTACCAGTTACGCTACAAAGAAACCTTTGAGAATGCTAAGGGCAAATACCACACAGTGAAAGATGCTTTGGATATTGTCTATCATCGAAAGGTCACCGATGATATTAGCAGTGTATGTATACGACATTTTCATTCCTAATTAGTGTTTGTCATATAATTACCTAGAATATGCCACTTATGCTATTGCTCTATTTAAGTGTGTCAAATAATTAGAAAAATACGATCAGCACTATTAATATTAACTTCTTTCCTTCTCTGGAAGATTATACACTTGATTGCCTTTGGTGTTACAAAAGTAAATCTCATTTCCACTGTTTTAGTTCTGATTTTTCAGAAAAAGGAATGTCTTGAAACTGTATGGTTTGGAGTGTTCTGTTCTCAGACTGTTTTACTTCATTCTTCAATTTTCTGTGTAGGTGAAATACAAGGAAAATTATATGAGCCAGTTAGGAATCTGGAGATCAATCCCAGACCGTCCAGAGCATTTCCATCATCGCGCAGTCACGGATGCTGTTAGTGATGTGAGTTCAAATAGTTTCTGGATGTGAGAGGTTGAAAGTTATAAGTAGGTTTCCAAATTGAGAACCAAGTCTTACTTCATGAGAAAGGGAAAGTAGCTGAAATTTTTAAAGTGATTTGCACTTTCACCTGGCAGATCTGTGAAATGACAGAGCAAATCAGATGGCTAAAATTACAGCCCTTCTCCTTTTGAAATTAACAGAACAGTCTTAATTAATTTCAGTTGCATTTGCTTAGATTTGTTTGTTAACCCTATAACAACCCTTCATTGCACATAGCTGTACATATACAATAACCCCTTAATTGTACAAGAATACAGGTTTTTTTAATTCACACAGGAACTCCAATAGCTAATGATAGATTAGGTATGTGACTAGTCTTAGTCCATCAGAAAAGTATGAGTTACTCTAACTTATTTTATAATGGAATAATAATGGATGTAGCTCTGTTTGCTACACCTTGTGTTGAGGTGCCATTTCAGCATTGATCAGCTACCACTTGGTGTCACTTAAAACCGAATCCTTTTACTTCTTTTCTGAAGGTTAAATACAAGGAAGACTTATCATGGCTCAGAGGCATTGGCTGTTATGCATGGGATACTCCAAGTTTAGCTCTGGCAGAAAAGAATAAGGTGCTCTACAGTGGGGTAAGTAAAACAGTCTGAATTGGTGCTAAAGGTTTTATTGACGTTTGCTTATATTGTAGATAAATTTTTCCCAGGAGAATCCAGTTCTAACCTAGACATTGATATGAATAACTCATGGTATAACTTAATATATAGCTTCTAAAATTTCAGTTCTTACTGTAAAAGAAAACAGAGGCAAAATGATCTTTTACTTATCCCCTCTGTTCCTTGCAAAGCTATCAGCTCCATAGTAATTTTTCTAGTGATTCTAAGTCTAGCTTTAAAATTATGAAGATTTGAAATTTCCATTGCTTTCTTGATGTGCTAGTTCCATCCTGCATACTACATTTACAACTATTTTTTGTTTGTAGATATGTTAAATGCACATATGCAATAATTCTACCATGGTTTTGCTGCAGATTGTTTCTAAAATCATGCTTTCATTGCCCTACCCATCTTTGGAATAACACTGGAATGTTTTTTTCTGTTTGTTTCTTTTTCTCCAGTGTAAGTACAAGGAGATATTTGAGAAGACTAAGTCTCAGTTTCAGTATGTAGCTGACTCTCCAATTAACAAGCATTTTAAACACGCAACTCAGTTGATGGATGGGGTAAGTGATTTTCGTAGAGTCTCGTACTGAAGTAGTAAGTGTGTGTATGTTAATACCGAGTTGAAGGTTCATCTTCCTTATGAAATTGTAAATAAATCAAAATATATTCAGGCTTAAAGATGTCTTAAGGTCAGACTAAAATCGTGAAAGACAAGGTTGTTCTTATTGCCTCTCTGAGTATTAGGACAGGGCAGGTTTACAGTACCTAAAAAGTGAAATCCTGACCCCTGTTCCATTACTTTGTCATTGCAAAGAAACCTCTCTTTTGCTGACTGGTAAATACATGCTAACTTAAACAGTGCTATTTACTTAGTAATACTGATTGTTGATTGTCATGTGAAAACGGTGTAGAGAGAATCACAACTGCTTTCCTGAAACATTGAAAAAAAACTTAATCAGTGTCAGGAAGATAGTATTATGTTCGAAGTTACCATAGCTCTGTTTCATTTCAGATATTTTGCCTTGAATTCTCCCACTCTACTACTTAGTTTTTCTTACTTTTCTCCTGTAGTGCTAAAGAAACTATAAACACAACATAGTAGCAAAGGGGGTTAATGAATGCCCCCGGATCTAAGAGTAAAATCACCAGTGGAGTTTCTAGGAGTAGTGCTGTACACCCACAGGACAAAGCCCATTGAAAAGCACTGTGTTCTAGGTGAATTATCATCAGCTTAGAGTTGACATACCACACCGGCCTCTGATGCTTTTTATTAAAGCAGAGTATACTTAGACTCTCACATCTTGGTGTTTTGTTCTTTTTCACCAGACATTGTTACATTTACTGAGAGGTAAACAATTTATTACAGTATTACCTGTTCTAGGTTAGAAAAACTGTTTCACAACAGATTCCATTCCAGTACCATTCCTGTCATTTCATACGCAATTTGATAAGCAGTGAACCAGAATTTGTTATGGAAGGTTGTTAGTATTCATTCTTCTTATTGTTTGGTAGAGCAAATAAGGAAAAATTTAATGGGAGAAACATGAATGAGTAAAATTTTAGCAACGGGGGCTCCATACATGGAAATGAACTTGCCTAAATGTCTTCTGTTATGTAAGTGAAGTTTTTTGTGATAAGGCATTATAGTTTTTGCTTACAAAATGTCTGATGATAGTATAGCATTGTATTTTACACTTGAATCTCATTCTGTTCTCTTTGTACTCAAATCAAGAAACTAGTTCCATAGAGAGTTGCTTCTGCAGTTATTTTTCATGACGAAAGTAAGTCATAAAATGCCTTATTGAAGAGTGCCAGGGATAGGATATAGGCATCCTTAAATTGTAGATTAGGCATTCCAGTGGAAATTTAGAAATGCATATATTATTTGGAAATGTTTTCTCTCTGTGTTTTTTTAATATATTTTTCTCTTTTGGATATGATCTTCAATCCCAGCCTTTAAGTAGTCTATGTAAAGAGGTTTCAGTGGTTAGAACTATGATCTCTTTGTGTCTTCACTCTTTTTTTATTTGTTACACTGTATTATGCTATTCTGAGCAGAAATTATATAAAGCTGCCTATGAGAAGCTCAAAGATAGGTACAGCGTTATTGTGGATGATCCTAGGAACCTCCTGGCCAAGTGGGGGACTACACTGAGCAGTCAGGTACTGTAGGAGCACTAGCTGGTGCTGCCAGAAAGTGCCTGGTCACTCACAGCTACTCCGTCTGTGTGAAACGTCTATCGCTAGCAGTATCACAGGTTTCACCTGTGATGTTGTGATGTTCTAGTTCAGTTGATCAGACGGTCTTTGTTTTGCCACCCAAAAAGAATTATTACTTTTTGAGTGAGCTAATCTCTACTGTATGTACTTTCATATATTGTGCATCAATTGACATCAGAAATCTAATGCCGCTTGAAGTCAGTGGAGAGGTTTTAAAAAATGCATGTTGTATCATCCATTTATTTTTTATTACCTCTCTTTTAATGACCTTTACAGACATTATCTTCTTACTCATTACTCAAGCAACAGTGACATATTTGGCTTTTGAGTATCCTCACCTTAATCTATAATTTAGTCTTATCTCCCCAAAAATATTTTCACAATTTCGTTTATGGGATAGTATGCAAATCTTTTAATATATATTCTTGACATTCTTAATTATATAGATGTAAGTTGTATGCACATCTGAGTGAATACATACAGTACCTTGCCTAAATCTCTCCACTCTCAAAGTGTCTGGGATCTAGAGCTGCGTTGTTGTTGATGGTGTTCACAAGTCTCTTTTGTGCTTCGTTGCCATTTGCATGAACAGAAAAAATATAAATCCTTTGCCAAGATGCTCCTGCAACATGGATGTAATGAAATTCTGAGGCCAGATATGCTGACAGCACTCTACAACACATACTTATGGAGCCAGGTAATATGAAGAACTGCTGCCGTAGGAGACATTATATATACAAATTAGCTGCTTGGACTTCTAATATTTAATGCTTGGGAGTTCTCTAAATTTCTACCGACATCAGACTCCAGAGTTTTGTCAATGTGCTTAATGCTGGCTATGACAAAGTATTTTTTAAAACAGAATATCTGAAACAACATTTACTGTAACTTGGACTTCACTGAGCTCAGGCTGATCTTGCCTTCATTTTCTCCTTTCATTATAAATAATTGTTATATATACTTCTATATTAAATTTCACATACTTACATAAAGAACAATTTTCCATATATTTAAGATATTGTGTGTTAGCTGTTCCTGATATTTACCTAACCAAATTCTCATTCTGCCACCATTTCTTGGACTGACCACCTCTCATAATGCAAGTCTGTTAATTCAGTATGAACACGAAGAAGTAATTTGGCAAGTAGATTACAACATTTATCTACCACTCTGCCTGAGAATGGTGTCAGATTGTGCCTAGATACAGAACAGAGTCATGTCTCACTTCTAAGTGCTCTTAGAAATGGTATAGGCACACAGGTCCGTAGTAAATCATGTTTTCATCAATTTCCTTCTCTACATACTGCTTTTAAGCAAGGCTAGCAAAGCAGTCCTCATGCAGTCACATAATACAGTTTATTAAAAAAAACCCAAACCTCTCTCCTTTTGCCTGTTCTAGTAAGAATCAGAAGGTAGAAAGTGACTATGATTCATCTATTTATTCATACAGAACAAAGAGCCTAACACATTTATATTTCTGACGATGTAAAAGAAAGCCTGTAATGACTCTGATATATTGTGAAGAATTAATTTGCCATATTCTACCTTCTTTAATATGGATTCCAGCATATATATTTTGGCTGTACCAGTTGGATGAAAATGTGGCTTATTAAATAACTGATACATATTTATTTCTGCTCTGAAATCACAGCTGCTAGCAGTAACCTTACTCTTCAATGGTAAAAATTATTCCTGACTGGACCAGGTGAAACTGGCATATAACATTTAAATTATAAACTGGAAATGCAGCAATAGAAAATAATTACATGAGAGGGAGAGGGGTGTTCTTCTTTGTTAGTATTAGCACAGTTAATAAAATTCTTCACTAATAAGGTACTGAAGTTCTTTACTAGACATTTTTGTTCAATTTATCTGTGGATTTATATTATGTCATTAAAAAATCCTTGCAGGTAAGTGTGAGTATGTTTGAAGAAAAAAAAAAAAATAGCACTCTGCCTGACCTGCATGTTCATCTGAGTTGACTTCATGTTATGATTTACTGTTTGTATATGATTTTTTATATTTGTCTGTCATAGTCCTGTTTCAAAGGCATGGATTTATTTTCTGATGCAAGATAGAGCATGAAAGTTCTTTTTAAAAATATGTTCTAATCTCTTCCACCTGCCCTCAGGCTGTCTACAATGATTTATCACTCTCAGTGTACAGTCTCTTCTCACTGAATTCTGTGAAAACAGGTTTAGAGTCCTGAGCAGGGCAAGATGATCTTTAAAAAAGAAATTATCAAAACACAAATTCTGCTATCAAAGCCTTTAAAATAGCCTGGCATTATGATATATTCAGTGGAAGTTCTTATATTCTACTGTGTAAGATGTTTTACATTTCTCTTGATTTGATGAATATTTAAAAATGAGATATTGTCCAGTTATGAATTTTAAAAGTCACTGATCTGCCAAGATTGCTTTTTTAGCTCAATCTTGGAGATTGAGGATAGAAGTGAAGCTTTTACACTCAGTGAAATAAATGTAAAATTAATCACACAGATAGGCAGCCTCCTAGGCAAATAAGGGGCTTGCAAAGTTTAGCTGATTGTGCATATTCAGCTTTCATTGGCTATGGTGGAAGGATTTTGCAATTTTATGTGTGAATATAAACATATTTCCTGGAGGTGTTTTGTCTTGGTTTGTATGGCTAACAAAATCTTTCCCAATCACCAGGTTGAATACAAAAAGGACTATGAAAAGAAGAAGGACAAGTATACTATGGTTGTGGATACTCCAGAACACTTAAGGACTACAAAAGTCAACAAACAGATTAGTGATGTAAGTGTGGTTAGTCCCTTTCAAGCATACCTCCTTCTCTGAATTCTGACCTTTGAAGTGTGATAATGAAGAATATGGCATTTTCAGTAGTCCATTATACAATGTTTCTCATCTTGATTTTTTTCAGTTGACACCAATAGTGTCAAGAAATAATATAATCTATAATTTTTATCTTCAGATTATTTACAAGTTGGAATATAACAAAGAGAAGCCTAAAGGCTATACTACAATCCATGATACACCTATGTTATTGCATGTGCGCAAGGTCAAGGACAGAATAAGTGATGTAAGTAAATTATCCTTGTCTGTGGTATCAACAAAGACACAGAAGTAACTCTTTGCTTTGATATGCAATACTTTTAACTCGTATGTAACACTGTCATTAAAAAATAGCTTCTTGTTAGAGTGTATTGGTTTTGTTTGCATATAAAACTCCATATGTACTTAATGCTTTTTCAAAAAACACAGTAGCGTATGAAAGTATGCAGGAAGTTTTTTTTGTGTAATGTTCTTTTGTAGCTCTTGGAACATTTTTGCTGGGGTAGAGCAGCCCTCGCTAGTAATAAAAGCCATGAGCTGGAACTGGTATCTAATTAAAGCATGGATTTGAGGAGTTTCTTTCTGGGTTTTCTTCCTCTGTTGGCTAGTGGCTTTTGTGGAGCCTTGAATAAGATACTCAATACATTACTGTGTTTATTCATTTCTTCTGTGGATATTGTAAATATGTAAGGTAAATATTCTGATCTAAAACAATTATGTGTGTTAATTATGGGGCAATGGAATGCTAAAAAGAAGAGAGAGAAAGGAAGATGAAGCAGATAGGGTAATATTGTAGGATTTGGGAGTCCTCATCCTAATTCCTCCTCTTACTCTAGTTTTTCTCTCTGACCTTTGTATTGTTCCTTAGATATCCATAAATAAAATGATACTAGCACTTCCGTAATTCAACATAGTACTGTGAGAATAAGTAGCGTCAAAGTCATTCAGGTACTACATGAATTATCTATATAATGAGTAAATCTACAAGGAAAAAATAACCATATTATCCAGATACTAACATGGATCATTAAGAGACAAAGGTATTCAAAAGCGATCTGTGAATTGAAGTACATTTTGTCGTTTCCAAACTGAGTGCTGAATTTGAGATTCTATAAAGGAATTTTCAGAAAGCATTGAATGTGCCTATCATAAGACAAGAGTCTTTAAAGCATTGCTATTAGTTGCAAAAAACTAGAAACAGGAAGAATTACTGTTCATGTGTAGATTTTGTTAAATCTTAGTCTGTGCTTCATGGTGAGTTTTACCTGCTACATTTTCTATTTAAAAAGAACTGCTGCTGAAGAGAACCCTTCTTTCAGGCAGATAGTTGATACCAAGATGTATTGATACAATTTTTTCTATTAAGATTTTATCTTGACAGGATAAATTTTTAATATTATATTTTTCGTGTTTTGATGCTTTTCTTGTCAACAATGATATTACCTTTGTAAACATTGTTTATGTTTGTCTTTCTTTAGCTGAAATACAAAGAAGTGTATGAGAGGAATAAATCTCACTGCAATGTCATAGCAGATTCAGTTCATATTAAGACTCCAAGGCATGCTTACAAGCTAAACAGCAATGTGAGTTCAGTTTTATTAATACTTTAATTTTATTATGGATAGTGTTTGGGACTGGCAGTGTGTCGTGGTTTAACCCCAGCCAGCAACTAAGCACCACACAGCCACTCACTCGCTTCCCCCCCACCCCGTGCGATGGGGAGAGAATCGGAAGGAAAAAGGTAAAACTCATGGGTTGAGATAAAGACAGTTTAATAGAACAGAAAGGAAGAAACTAATAATGATAATAATAACAATAATAAAATGACAGTAATAATAAAAGGATTGTAATACACAAAACAAGTGATGCACAATGCAATTGCTCACCACTTGCTGACTGATGCCAAGTTAGTTCCCAAGCAGCGATCTCCCCAGGCCAACTCCCCCCAGTTTATATACTGGGCATGACATCACATGGTATGCAATATTCCTTTGGCCAGTCTGGGTTAGCTGCCCTGGCTGTGTCCCCTCCCAACTTCTTGTGCCCTTCCAGCCTTCTTGCTGGCTGGGCATGAGAAGCTGAAAAGTCCTTGACTTACCATGAACACTGCTCAGCAGCAACTAAAAACATCAGTGTGTTATCAACATTCTTCTCATACTGAATCCAAAACATAGAACTGTGCCAGCTACTAGGAAGAAAATTAACTCTATCCCAGCCAAAACCAGGACACAGTGGAAACCACGAGCAATTATTTTCAGTTCCATTGAAATTTTTTGAGCTTGGACATTGCTTCTAATTCTTACTCTGCTTGAATAAAATATATTTTAATTTATTTCATATTAAGTGCTCGCTCTTGCAAATTGTCCTTGAGGTCACTTGAGGTCCTTGTATGTCACACATCTACTGTTCTTCTCGTCCCGCTCTGTTTTCCTGACAGAGATGTAACTGCCCCAGAAATTTTCTGTGATGATGTTCTTGTAGACAAAGTGAGCGCTTCATGGAAAGCTCTACTGTGTTTTCTATTATTGATGGCCCAACATGCACTTGAATAGGCAAGGAACTGAAAGCAGTCACCTTCTTCAAACTCATGACATCTTTTCAGTCATTCATATTCCTTTCTCCACCTAGCAGTGGAAAAGCTGGAGTAAATGGACTCCCACTGGATTGTACATGATTCAGAGGAAAGCCCTGGTCTGATGTAGACGCACTTTCTTATCTCTTCTCTCTTTATCTGGTACAGACCAAAGAGAATTTGCATCTGTATGTCATGTGTAAAGCACACAACTTCCAATTAACTTCTTTTTTTCTTGTTGTATCACTGTAAACAGCTGGATTATAAGAAGAAATATGAAGCAGCCAAGGCTCATTGGCACTGGATTGCTGATAGGCCTGATTTTGTTCAAGCAGCCAAGTCATCTCTGCAACAGAGTGATGTAAGAGAATCAGAACAAACTGAATACTCCCCTTCCCCACATCTCTCATGTTCAGAATGTAAAAAAAAAAAAAAGTAGAAGATTTGAGACTCTTCTTTTATCTTTTATTTTTTTCTTCCTGCAGTATGAATATAAACTGGACCGGGAATTCCTAAAGGGATGCAAACTCTCCGTCACAGATGATAAAAACACAGTATTGGCCTTAAATAATGCCATCCTGGCAAGTGATGTAAGTACTTGAACACTCACTTTTTTTGTTCTGCTAGAACTTTACTTACTACATAAACGACTTTATTGGAAATATGATTGGATTAAGAATGGAGCTTTGAAAAGTTATTCTCAGTCTCACTTCACTATTTGGTTTGACTTGTTTATTTCATTAACAAATTGGCAAAATCTGAATAAATTTGATCTTGTAAATGTCAGTGGCCTAGTTCACGGATTAAATAAATATTCAAAGTTAACATTGCCTGAACACCCTAGACGTTTGGTATATCTCTGCGTTCCTGTTACTGAAATGAAAATATTATCTGGACAAAACAACAAAAAAAGCTGCTGGTATAACTTGTGCATAACACAAAGTATCTTTAATAATTACTAACAATATATTAATATTCAGTATGTTAATAAAATTCCAAGTGAGAGCTATAGGATTATATAGACTGGAGTGAATTTATCTTGGAAAACATCAAAATATGGAATTTTCTGCAAACTTTTGCACTAACAAACAGGCACAACTATAGTAATTTCTTTTTAAATAGCCACAAGACAAGATACACATTGCTTAAAATGGTACCTTTTCTGACTGCTAGATAAAATACAAAGAGAAGCACAACAAAGCTCGAGGAACGTGCCTTGTTGTTCCAGATACACCTCAGATCCTCCTGGCTAAGAACGTCAGCTCTCTTGTATCCGAGGTAAAGCATCAGAGAGTTCTTTGTTCATTTTAAGTACATCCTTTTAATGTGGGGGGAGGGGGGGGGTGGGGGGGGTGGTGCATTGCTGTTTGTTTACCTATTTTTATTCTGTGCTTTCAGAACAAATACAAAGAACAGAGCAAGAAGCAGCTTCCACATGGATCTTATACAACCCTGCCAGAGACACGAGACACTGTTCATGTGAAAGAGGTGACCAAGAATGTCAGCGACGTAAGTAACTAGTGTGATAACAATTTATGGTGTGATTGTTACCTGCTGCCTATAATTGATTGGACTGTTGCATGTTTTTGTACACATGCACCACATTTAGAGTTTTATTGTAAAATGCCCAAGGAGTCAGAAAGATTAATTCCTACCAGAATGAGACTTTAACAAAGAGCTAAACACATTTTATTGGGAATCTGTTGAAATAGTCTGGAGAAAAGTGACAGGCTGGAGTGCTAATGGGTGGCCTTAATTCAGATTTTATTTTTCATAGAACACAGTTTAAACAGAAATCATTATCTCCAAATAGCAAGCTTTTGTAATCTGAAGTGCAAATTATGACAAACTAGCTGGGGACCATACGTTTTGAGACTGAGGAGACTGTGTTTTATTTGTCTTAACAGTTTCAGTGAGCTTATTTCCAACTTTCAGTAGCATTTACCTCCATGTGAAATTAAAAAATCACACATGGCCCTTTTTGCTCTTAACAGACAAACTACAAAGAGAAGTTTGTGAAGGACAAAGGCAAGTCTAATTATTCTGTCATGCTGGAGCCTCCCGAAGTGAAACATGCCATGGAAGTTGCTAAAAAACAGAGCACAGTAAGTTTGTCTTGTCTTTTCATGAATTAAGTAGCTTGTGTAAGTAAATTTGATCAAAGACAGCTGGCAAAAACAAAAGTTCACACACTTCTGGATTTCCTCCCAGCCTCCATGTTCAGGTGTAATTCTGAAAGATAAAGGTGCAAATATTTACAAATGTAAAATTGCACTGAAATAAAGGATTTCTTTGAAAATCATATTTCTGCTTAATCACATGGTAGGATTTAAAGTAATCTAGTGCAAATTGCATCTAATACTTTCTTTCATTCCTTCAAATACGGACAGAATTGCATATGCTTATTTCTTCCTTTGTAGACAACTTGCAAAAACACATTCCCAAATCTATTTCTTGTGAAATTATTTAACAGCCCCCCCCCCCCAAAAAAAGCACTTTCCCAGCAACATTGTTGTGTCCTTATTAGCTATATTCCTCAAGAACAAGTCTCAGTAATTTTCTTTCCTCTGTCTATCATCATGGATTAGATTGAATACAAGAAAGATGCCAAGTCCAAGCTCCACTACACACCTATAGCAGATCGACCAGATATTAAGAAAGCAACTCAGGCTGCCAAGTTAATTAGCAATGTAAGTGGTTTTTAAGTCTTCTGTATAATTCTTTAGCAGTAGTTTTACTATTAAAAACAGTGTCAGTAAAATAATTAAGAGGGAATGTCATCACTACTCAACTATACTTTTTTTTTTCTTTGTTAGATTGAATATAAAAAGCGTGGAGAAGCTGGCATTGGCGTAACCATGCTGGGACGTCCAGATATTGAACTCGCAAAGGAGGTCTCCAAGCTAACTAGCCAGGTAATAATAAAAAGTTGTTGAAACGTTGAAGCAGTGAGAGAAATGAGATATGATATTAACTTATAGAGGAATACTAATATTATAACTGAAATTATTTCTAGATTAGAGGATAAGGGAATATTTTAAAGGGAATGTCTTAAAGTAAAAATTAAATCCCGATGCAAGGTTCTTCATTAAATAAACTTTTCTACTTACTTACTAAATGTCTGTAATGGAGGTACAGAATCTCCTTAAAATGATGCCATGACAAGATCTTTTAAATACTAAGGCTGAAGCGTCAGTCGTGTTCTTTTTTAAGCTTTTCTGGGTGTTGGCTTTAAAAGAGGCAGCCTTTTACCTAACTCTTATTATCCACACTTTATGAGATGGACATTGTTTCTTTCAGCCACTTTCTTTGTATTTTGTGCCTTTAAAAGAATCTTCTGTTTTGAAGTTAACATGTTATATTAATAGAAGCTCGCTTACTTTTATACAATGGTCATGTTCTCCGATCAATCTGAAGCACGTGCTTGCTATATTCTGTGACAATTTTTTCTGCCAGGACCTCAGTTCAACTTGGTTCTTTCTCACCACTTCATGCTTTAAACCTGCAATTGTTTGCATTTCTGATCTTGCTTTCTTGCTACGCGTTATAGGCAGAATACCTCAAACGACATATGCGAGGGCATGGAGCTGCATCTTATGATACCCCATGGATGAGAACCTTTAAGAAAGCTAATATGCTAAGTAGTCATGTAAGATAATTTTAAGTGACACATCTGGGAATGCCATTTTTATGCATCTGTCTCTTGCTTGCATATTATCTTACAATTGCAAGTTGTTAAAGGGTTTATGATGCACCAGTTGCACTGGATCTTTTTGTTTCAAAGGTGTTGAATGTAGCAGAACTTGTGAGACTGCTTAGCTGGATGTGACTTTCTTTTTTTGCTCTGGAAAAATAGTGCATGGGAATTCTGTGGGTTGGGAATTTGTCCGTTTCAGAAACACTACATGAAGCTTGAAATGTTATTATGCCCTTCATAATGTTTCTGGAACTTCCAGTGTTTTTAATGGAAGTTTCCGATGCACTCATGCAATGTGAAAACTCACCTTTTTCACCCAAACCCCCTAAAACCAGACATATAAGCTTGAGCTGGTTTTCCTGAAACTCTGCAAAACATGGAAACACGTGTGTATGACAAACCCAAACAATGGTGCTGGTAGTTTTCAGTGAACAGTCATACCATATGCATAACATTCACATTTTAACTATTCAAACTTCTCTTTAAACTTCATTTAAACTATTCTGTTTATATTGTGCTGGAATGGTATAATGGAAGCATAGCCTAGGACTGAATCAGCCCCAGAGCCTCTGAGAATCATACCCTGTAGTGATTTGAGGCCACATAGTTTCTTATATTTCTTGCCATCTCAAAAACCTTTGGAAGATCAAAAAATGATGGCAGCATAGCAGTTTTGAAGTGGAAGCAGACAGATCTGTGCCATTTCAGTTTTACACATGTATTTCCAAACAAAAAAAGGGGGCATTATGGTTTTTCCATGTCTAGCCATGACTGCTGCACGTAACTGTTGCATGTGTGAACGTCAGTCACTGTGTTTGTCAGGAAAACCAGGAATCTTTTCGGTAGAACCAAGGATTCTTAAACTGAAAAATTTGAACTACAAGAAAAAGAAGAAATTACTCTTATTCCCATTAAGTGATAATGAGATCCTCCTTCTCTGTGCTTTTGCTCCAATGCTAGCCAATTCTCCTCTTAGTCTTAGAAACATGCTTTGATGAGATTATTTTAGTTCTGAGAGAAAATTAACTGTTGTAGAGGCAATAAGGGAGCAAAGAATAATTGGCATATTCTTTAACTTTTTTTTCTCTTAGGCATTTCTTCTCATAAAGTTCTCTTTTATAAAGCATTATGTCCAGTTTGTTTATCCACTTTCCCTTTTTTAGTTGGATTTCATCTGCCTGTCTGACATGCTTGCTTTTAATTTTGCATAGACCTTCCAGCAACATTTCTTCTGGGCTTAAAATAGTGAACTCTTTGGCATGATGGTCTGATCTTGATCGTATGTTGTATAGCTTGCAAAACATAACAGATTCTAGTATACTTCTGCTTGGTTTTGGGTTTTTTTTGTGCAGTCAGATCCAATACTGATGCCTTTATGTCAAAAATGTTAATATTCTTTGTTTTCTTACAGCAGCTATATAACTTGTGGATTTGCCTGTTTCACTGTGTGTTTTATCTGAATGTTGGCATATTTTGCAAAGCAAAAGAGCAACAGTGGTATCTAGCATGAACCACATGGTGCTGTATGGACAAGAATATGACAATGAATTCAAGGTGTAAAATGTGATCATGGAATGTGATTTAATTCTGCATTCAATTATTTGTCTCTTTTTACTAATATAAAATTATCTGTTTACATTTCTGTAATTGTCATAAAAAAACTTCTAGCATAAGTCAGCTGTTCCTCAACTTAGTTATCAGTTCTTCAGTATTTCATTTCTTTCATTTCAATTTTCACATAAATATTGTCTGGGAGATCAGGGTTTTTTCTGAAGAACCATTAATCCTTTTTCCTCGTCAGCCACAGTCCTATATTTTCTGCATGCTTTTTATAAGTATTATCTTGGTCCTGAACAAGATCAAATTCTTTCAGAAAGACTGATGATGGTTGTTCAGTTCTTGTTCTTTAGGCCAGGGATGCGGGTTGCTAGCTTGCTTAGTATAAAATATCTCCAAGGAAATGTGGATTGGTAAGCAGAAAGACATGTTGCCTCACTTGTTCCCAGACCAGGCAGAATACTACTACGGGGAAGACATGACAAATCCTCAGAATTTTTCTACTGATGTTTACTCTAATGGTGATGAGCATACATACTAACTATGGGACCAATTTAGATAAGCCAGAATTTAATCTTTGATACTTTGAGTTTTTCTTGCATTATGCAGTGACTTCTGAAACAATTTTACACATCTCTGATAGCAAAAAAAGTAATAAAACCAAAACATTCCTAATGGAACCGTCCCTTTTGTAGGTTTACAAGAAGTAGTGAGGAATTAGCCTTTATCTGCACCTGCAGCAGCGGGATGGGACAAGTCATGATGGATGAAGGACTTGCCCTTATTTAAGTCATTAGCAAAACTCTCATTCCTATCAACAGTTCTGTGACTCCAGCCTGGGTCTGCTGGATTATTATGGTTTACATCGCTGTGGTTTACCTTGCTGATGCTAATGTGGTTTGGAAGTGTTACTAAGCCTCTTGCATAATCTAATTCCTAGTAATTAATTGTACGACTGTTCTGTTTGTGAGCATTAGCATCCTTCTTCATCTGTGATTTATATAGAACACAGTATGTGTATAACAGTATATGTGAAAGTATTTGATATATTGCCACCTTCAGTGCTCGTATGTCTTCAGGTAGTTTTTAAAGCTCATAGTTCTCCAAGAAGTACATAAAAAGTTCTTTTAAATACTCTTTATACCTGTGTTGGTTTTTGTCTCTGTGAAATAGGGTATCTTTTATATATGCACAGTTCCCATCAAGTGAAAAATTCTTCATCTCCAAGGGTCAGAATTTAGCTGTATTTTGTCAACACAATTGTCGTGACTATGTCTGTTATTTTTACAATGAGGAGATGGAACCTGTGCACTGAATGAGAAATTGCAAGTGGTATGTTGTATGTAGTTTTTCTTTCCATGTGAGCTCGTCTTTAAAATAGCCTTTATTCCAGTGGATGCCTTCAAGTTACTATGGTTTGTTCTGCTTACTATCAGCATTGAAGTAGGGTCTCTTTGCCTTCTGCAGCCAAACAAGTGAGTACTCAAGAATAGTTGTAATACCTGGCTGTTTTTTAATTTAGGTGAAATACAAGGAGAATTTTTCCAAAGAGATGGGTAAAAAGCCAAAGTATGATTTGAAGGAGGCTAAAATCTACAAGACCATGAAAGACGCTCACAACATGGCTAGTGAGGTATGTTTACTTAGCTTTTCCCTTAGGGAAATTAAAAGTTTCAAATTTCTTTAACAAAGACCTCATTTACGTTATTAATGCACTCAACATCACAGGTTTTATTAGCAGTCTCCTTTTCTGATATTGTTTGTCCTTTCTTACCTGCAGGTGAAATACAAGGCAGATTTAAAGAAACTTCATAAGCCTGTCACAGACATGTCTGAATCGCTCATCATGAACCATGTCCTGAGTACAAGCCAGCTTGCCAGTGCTGTAAGCTCATTAACTAATCCCAGATCCATTTGATTTTTCCATTACTATTGATTCCATTCTGAATTGATGTCTGCTAACTATTTCTGTAACAATTACTCCCTCTGTTATTGTTCATGGGACATCACCTGGTAGTGATCTCTTCCTCTACTTTCTAATGATTATTTCCTAGTTAACTAGCAACTTTGCCACATTTGCCCTCTGGGAAGTGAAATCTTTATTAGCTGTAGAACTGCTAATATTTTTAAATCCTCTAATAATTTTTAGTGGATTGATTCTTTATTACATTTTAACTGATTGCATTACACTAACAAATACCATTGTCTTCTTTTTTTACTTTTTTCTTTTCTGCTTACTATATTTAAAGTTTTTATTTTTGTCTGTTTTTTTCATTTCATGTTTATGTTTAACATCCCCCTGTTCTAGACGTACAGAAGTATGGCTAACAAAATACTTAATAATTTTACTGAGAAAAGACAAAAAGCAGTATTGCCTGGTACAGCCTTTTGATGTATCCACTGTGCTTTCTTTTTTCTTCTTCTTTTTTTAATCCTGGTTTTGAAAAAATCTTTGTTGCAATCAAAATGGTCAAAAAAGTTAACTGTTCACCCAATCTTTAGAATTGATATCTGATACTGGGAGTTAAACTTCTTGGTTTTGTTTTGCTTTTTGTATTTCTAATTTCTCTTTGATGTTCCATTGAAGTGTTGCTTTGATTGGACCTAAGAAGTAAATTTGCTGAGGGATTTTTTTTTTATTGAGTTGATTTTTGACACCTTCCCTTCAGTACCAGTACAAGAAGCAATATGAGAAGAGTAAGGGTCACTACCATGTGGTGCCAGATAATCTTGAACAGGTTCATCTAAGGGAGGCATCAGAACTACAGAGCCACGTAAGTTGGTCATGTGTTTCTCATTAACCCCACTCATGGAGTACCAGTCTCCATCACTGAAGCCATACTAGCAAATTCTCCAGAACGTAACAATCTCTGTCCCTATCTGCTTCATAAACACTGCCCACCTGAGTAAACAAGTCAATGAGAAATATTTGCAAGTTTAGAACACATGTAAAATATCTGTATGATTTCTTCATTCTAGAGTAGATCTCAAAGTTATTTCTGTGTGTTGTATATGGATCTTTTTACACAGTGTAATACATTTATCAGGGTGATTTCATCTATAGAAAAAAAGACCTGGTAATCACAGAAACTGGAAATTGAAAGAAGTAGGGCTGTTGCTGACAGTGTATTTTCAACTGCTTTATCCATTCTAGCCTCAAGCTCTCCTACAGAGGAGAGCTCTGCCATTCTTTTTCTGCATCCAAAATTGCTTTAACCAGAACAATACCTACTGCTGCTATTGTCTGACGTTTTTTCTCTCTGGAATACAGCAAATGGTGAATCATTCCAGAGAAATTCACACTCTGATTTGGTCTCTAATCCTCTATATTCCAGGTTCTATTCCAGGTATTTAGTGACTGTAAAGCAAGAGAGAAATTACTGCTAGAACACAAAGGGCCATAGTTATTGTTCTGCAGCATGGCATAGAAGACCAAAAAGGTTACATAGCAAAGGACTATAAGAGAAAGGTTGTTAATCAGTTTGTAGTTAAAGTCACTACTTGTTGCTCCAGTTTGAGATCAGGATCTGTCTCAGCCAAAGACATAGCATTACCTCATGCAGCAGTCTGAAAATTGATGCCCTAAAAGCTGGATACTGTAACTTGAAGCAAGAATATCTTCATCCTTGTGGACATTTTACTTCCTGGACACTCATGCACAGAATTAGTTAGTAAGTTGCTAAACTGCATCTTTTCAAGCCCTGCCTCTAACACTCCAGGAATCCATTAACATGTAACTGGCTGAACTCAGCTAGGGTCATGAGCAGTCTGAGTGCCTTTAACTTAGATTTTTACAGCTACCTGTCTTCCTTCTTGTGATCAGTAATTTCTTGAAATCTGAGCTGACGCTGCTTATTGTCTGGAACAGGAAATAAATCAGTAGAATTTTAGGCCACACACATTTTTGCTGCAAGCTTGACCTTTGATTTTACATTTTATGGTCAATAATGGGGATTTCAGGAACGTAAACAGTATTAGACATTTATTTTTTTAGCACAGATCTGTTGACCAAAGTAGGCACATGCTAGTAGATGAATTGGTTCTTTGATTATTTGGGAGGGTAACTTTTTTTCTTCTCTTTCAGGTGAAATACAGAGAGAAGTATGAGAAGGAAAAAGGAAAACCTATGTTGGACTTTGAAACTCCAACATACCTTACTGCAAAGGAATCTCAGCTCATGCAGAGTGAGGTACAGTTAAAATCAATACTGATAGACTAAAAAACTTTAACATATATTTTTTACAGTTAAACTTTAGCAGTGATTTAGACAGGCAATTATACTTGCATCTTGTGCATCCTGATCGACTGAAAAATTATAGCTATATCACATTTCTTTATATTGGTTATGAAATAGTACATTTAAAATTCATGAAGCTTTCCCATGTCACAATGAAATTTATTTCATCTGTAATTTTTCATCAAGAAGCTATCAGTAAATGAAGCTTAAGCAAGTCTTCGAGTCTTTAGAAGAAATGTAATATGAAATACAGTTCACTTAAACTTTTGCAACTTAAGTATAGTATGTGTGTCGGTTATCATAATCCACAGAAAGTACCCTGGTTATTCTTTTCACTCAGAACTCAATTTTTGAGAAACCCATTTATTTCCTGTTCGTCTCTGCTGTCATAGTGTTCTTCACTGACCTGTCGTTCTATTTCCTCAAGCAGTTCTTTTCTGTTTGTTTGAAGTATAATCTTGTCCTGGCACAGATGAAGGCTTATACATGCTGAAAAACAGTTGTATAAGGCCATTAGTCATTATGTTTGAGTCATTCCATTGAATGGTTCCTCTGCATATGCAAATAAGTAGAAAAATTAAAAAAAGAAGGCAGAGTCAGGTCATATTTCCATTGAAAGTAATGAGCTGTTTCATGGGTTTTAGTAGAAACAGGATTTATTGCTTTAGGTGCCCACAGCATTGACTGTAGCAGATTGTCATTGTGACTTTAATACCAAACCACTGCTCCATCCTCCCAGTATTTTTTCACTTAATTAAAAATAATGTAATAAATATTTGCTATTTTGCTTTTTTTCTTCTTATTCTCATTAGAAAGAATATAAGAAGGACTTTGAAGAGTCCATTAAGGGGCGAAACCTTACTGGCTTGGAGATTACACCATCCTTATTACATGTCAAATATGCAACCAAAATAGCAAGCGAGGTAGCAGTTATTCTGTGCTTATTTCCTCTGTCAAGTTAAATAATTCCACTAAGTATTTTCAGCAGCATGTCTTTTTCACCACTTTCTTTTTCCTGACCGTTCACATTAAGCATGTTTACATATATTTTGTGTTGTAATCTAATTTGTCATGGATATTAACTTCATTGTTTGTTAACTGTATGCATATTTACTGTGTCCCTTTCTGACATTCATCAGCCTAACTGTTCCATAATGGGGTCTATATGTGGGTGCCTTTGTGATTTATCTGGAACAATAATTACTATACTCTGTTCTGTTGCAGTAGTTCTTATATAACCCTCTACAATATTATTCTTAGTTTTAAAAAATTCTTTTTTCTTTTGGAGCTTTTGGAATTTTTTTTTTTTTCCCCTTTTAAAGTTTTGCCACAGAGTTGCAGAATGTAGAACTCTCTTTAGTCTGGCTTTGCAGTTTTCATTTTCTTTCTTCTGTAGAAAGAGTATAGGAAGGATCTGGAGGAAGGTGTCAAAGGTAAAGGACTAACAGCTTTAGAGGAAACTCCAGACATGTTAAGAGCGAAGAATGCAACTCAAATCCTGAACGAGGTATGTAAAAAGCTATTGGGGAAAATACCTGAATGGATGTAACAGCCTCCAACTGATAAACACTTATGGCTGTATAACACTAGTATGAACTTTGTTATTCCCTAGAAACTCTTGAACGGAGAGAAGAAAAGAATGTGTGTGGGTGACTGAGGTTAAAACTGGGGGCCTGAACTTTTAAGTGAGCTCTTTTCTGGCTTTGCAGTTACTGTCAGGAATATAAGTGGGAAACAGGTGCTGTGATCAATAGTCAGATCAGTCAAGGGATAGACTAAAGCAGCATCGTGATGCAGCAAGGCTAAACGTAGGAACCAGAGGTGTCAGTTTGGTAAACTAGGCATCTTAGGTCTAGAGCAGTTACCAAGGATTAGGAATTAGTGGAATTAGGGATTAGCGGAAGATCTTTTTGGGAAGAGTGGCTGCTGCAGCACTAAGTTTTTAGGGATGGTATTCATTCCAAAGGCCCCAAAACATCACAGACAATCCTGACACCTTGCATTTTTTTGGACACACTCAGTGTGAAACATCTGTGACCACTCTTCACTACCACATGCATTTCATACACTGCTCTCCCTCTGTTGCTTCTCTTCTGTATAAGTTACTGTTTTGCACTGATCACCTGAAGGAACTTACACTTTGAGATTACTGGTGTGAGAAGGAAGAGTGACCTTAATACAGCTGGCCTGCAGCGTGCTCCATTTACTGCTGGAGTAGGGCTATTTGTTCTCAAGATTTAAGTCATAAAGTACACACTCTAATGACATAATTTGTATGTTTAATTGTGAGTTTATATTAGTAGTATTCCTATTTTGTGGGGTGGTCATGAAACTATCTGAAGTTGCTAAAGGTGTTGCATTCACATTGACAAGGTATCTATTTACTGTCTTCATCTGCAGAAAGAGTACAAAAAAGCCTTGGAATTGGAAATCAGAGGAAAAGGTCTGACAGAACTGGCTTTGGAGACACCAGATTTTGTGAGAGCAAAGAATGCCACTGACATTGCCAGTCAGGTCTGTGTGAATATCTCATATATCACAGCTGATGTCATCTTTAAAAGAAAATTTATTAACAGTTTTTTCTGATTAAACCAAATGAAAATGGTTGGCAAGATTTGATTAAGGCACCTAAATGTGAGCCTTCCCCCAACAGATCAAATATAAACAATTGGCAGAAATGGAGAAAGCCAACTACACCAGCGTTGTCGATACTCCAGAGATTATTCATGCCCAGCAGGTCAAGAACCTTTCGAGCCAGGTATCTTGAGTGAAGCAATTTAATCATTGTTCTTGTGGGAACCTCAAGTGGATACTCTTTCGGAGCACCTAAATAACTGCCTGTCACAACATTCAGGAGATACACCAGAAAAACAGATTTTTCTAGAGCTGTGATGTGGCATCTCTTACTCTGAAATCCCATTTCAATATTGAAATTAATTTATTTTAATACTGTATAAAATGAAACAATAATTTCTATTGCTTTTGCAATACCAAAGCTAATTTTGTTCTAAGTAGATTTAGCTTAATTTTGCTACTCCTTAATAACCTAATGTTTAAAGTAAATCTTACACAGAGGCATAATCTGAATTTGTAACAGACACAGAAGTACTCACATTTCCATAAAGATGGGCATTATGCAACAATAATTAATGCCAGATTGTTTTATTACTGCTTTGGTATTAATGGAATATATTTTGTATTTTCTATCAGAAAAGGTATAAAGAAGATGCAGAAAGGACTATGCCATACTATGTGCCTGTAGCAGACACACCAGAAATGCAGAGAGTCCGTGAGAATCAAAAGAACTTTAGCACAGTATGTATATAAATAATAAACACTGTTACTGTCAAATAATAAAAAAAATGTTCAGCTTTTTTTCATTTAATAAGGTCCTGATATGACACTCTAGTCCCAGCTAGGCTGCCTTTATATTCTCAGGGATCTTCATTTAGAGGGTCCACTATGTATGCAGCAGCCCACTTATGCATTACACTGGGAACCACCAAAATGATTGTGTAATTTCCTTGAAAAAAACTTTCTGCTGCAGTGTTTTGACAATTCCTTTGCAAGTAATAGAGAATTATACTTACAGAAGTTGTCTGTTGTTGTCAGTGGGACTACCTGCAAGACTGTATGGTCAGTAACAGAACTCCACAGTCTGACTTGATATCTTTAACTTTCATTGTTGAGACTTAATTGTTTTAGATACAATCTGGCACCTTTCAAGATTTTTTCAGTGAATTTAGTTAAGGATCTCCTATTGCTAATTTAAATGAGAGTATTTGTAAGTGTGGTACATCTTTATCTCACTAATGATGGTGTTAAAATTACCTCCTTATAAGGTGTACTTGAAAATACTTTTTTTCCTCATCTTCAAAGAAAAGTATGAGTAAAGTTTTGTGGCATAGAGTCAACATTTGGCATTTTACTTTAACTTTTTCAACAGCTTCAGTATCAGTGGGACCTACAGAACAGTAAAGGAAAAGTTACAGTTGTACAAGACACACCAGAAATGCTGCGTGTGAAAGAAAACCAGAAGAATTTCAGCTCGGTATGGTTATTTTCTGTTTTCAGTTCTCATTCCAAAAAATACAGTTTAATGTGTTTAATAAAATAACAATTTTTGGCTCTTACCTTACAGGTACTTATGTTCTTGATCTGCTTAAATGTGTATAAGAACTTTTTCAAACAAAACTAATTTTATTCTAAGTGGATTTAGCTGGTTTTTGCTACCTCTTTTAAACTACTGGGGTTTTTTGTGGAGTGCCCTGATTGTACTCTTTCATATATACATAGCTGTGATATAGTTAAACAACCAATCTTGTACTTAAATTGGATTACTAGTATCCACCTTTCTTTTGTCCTGTTACCATGTTAAGTAGTGTATTCTTGTTGTGTTGCAATTGTCGTCTTTCAGTGAAATGTCAACTGTCTGCCTGATTTTTTTCACATTTCATGTGTTACCATGAAGTGCCTAAAGTCTGCTGTATCATTTTGCCACTAGCACCATTAGCGTAGTAAGTAACTAAGTGGAGGACATTTGTGTAAAACATAATAAAACAAATTAGAACAAAAGGAACAAATTAGAAAAAATACTAGTCTTCAATCCTAAAATTAGGCTACAAATGTTTTGATACTCTACTTAAAATGCATTAGTACAAATATAAATGATTAGCTCCCTTTTATTGCACAAATGGCACTCATGTAGTAGGACAGACTTCAAATAGGCAATAAGGCTGTGACTGGAGATGATCCTCCGAGTTGGCTTTCAGCCTCCACTGTTGTGTACAAATCACTGTCATGAGCCTGTATTCACTCTTTAGAAGAAATAATGTTGTTTTGTGTGCTTAACCTTGTTGTCTTCATTCTAAATATTAAGATTTTATATAAAGAAGATATTGGAACTGGAACTACTATTGAAAAGACACCAGAGATGCAGAGAGTTAAACAAACCCAGGATGCAATCAGCTCGGTACAAAAGAATTGATTTTTTTAATACCCTACCAATGCTAATTCAACTTGAAATAATTCCCCCCCCCCCTTCTTATTTCTTTAAGTGTTGCTAACAGTGGTTTGGCAATAATCCATCCAGCTTAAGGGTTACTCTCTAGTTTTTGCCTATTCTTGTTACTTAAACAGTAATCTTTCTAATTATTAACACTCAATTTGTTACTTACAATCCATTTCTAAAACATGAAAGCTCTTGCCATCATTTTAATCTCATCACAAACACAATTTATTTAGCACAGATTGAAAGAATCATTTAGGTTGGAAGGGACCTCTTGAGGTCATCTACTCCAGCCCTTGTTGCTCAAGCAGAATCAGCTAGAGCAGGTTGGCTAGGACCATATCCATTCGAGTTTTTAATATCTCGAAGGATGAAGACACCACAACCTCTCTGGGTAACCTGCTCCAGTGTCTGACCACCATTGCAGTAAAAAAGTGTTTTCCTGTCTTCAGATTGAATTTTCTGGTTTTTAATTTGTGCCCATTACTTCTTGTCCTGTCACTGAGCTCTACTGAGAAGAGTAGCTCCCTCTTCTTCATTCCTTCTCACTGGGTATTTATACACATTGATAAGTTCCCCCCGCACCTACTCTCCTCAAGGCTGAAGAGTCCCATCTCTCTAAACTGTTTCTTATGTCAAAGATGCTGCTGTTTCTTGCTCATCTTTGTGGCCCTACGCTGGACTTGCTCCAGTAAGTCCGTATCTTTCTTGTGCTGGCGAGCCCAGAACTGGACACAGAACTCCAGATGTGGCCTCACTGTTGCTGAGTAGAGGGGAAGGATCACCTCCCTTGGCCTGCTGGCAATGTCCTTCTTAATGCAGCCAAGGATGCCATGAGGGCGCATTGCTGGCTCATCGTCAGCTTGTTGTCCACCAGGTCACCAAGGTCCTTCTCTGCAAAGCTGCTTCCCAGACAGTTAGTGCCCGGCATGAACCTCAGCCTGGGGTTATTCCTTTCCAGCTGCAGGACTTTGCATTTCCCACTGTTGAATATGTTGAATATGTTGAATAATGAGATACCTCTCAGCCCATATCTCCAGCCTGTTGAAGTCCCTCTGGGTGGCAGCACAACCAGCCAATCCTCCCAGTTTTGTGTCATCTGCAAACTTGCTGAGGGTGCACTCTGTCCCAGCATCCAGGTCCCTAAGGAGGATGTTAAACAGTATTGGCCACAGTATTGACCCCTGGGGTACACGGCCGGCCCCTGTGCCACCAATTGAAATGCCCTGGGCATCTGTGAGGATGCCAGAGCAAAGCCCTACTAAAGTATGTCTCATAAAACTTTTATATAAAAAATTGTAACACACTAAAATTGGAATAATTGTATGTATTACTTTTCTTTTGAAATTTGTAATTTTCATGCTTTTTTTGAATGCTGACATCATTTTAGTATAAAAGTTACTAACACTTCAGCCATTTGTTTCATGCATAGTATATTAAATATGTTCTTGTAAAATTCTTTTTTTTTTTTTTTTTTTGTTACGCTAAAGTAGAAATGCGAATAGGACTATAATTGTTAAAATGTTGTAGGATGACTCACACCTTTGTTGAATATCATAGATTTTTACAAATTCAAAATTCTTCTTTCATTGGTAGAAAGATCAAATGGTATCAAGTTCAAAGGTATTTAAACCTTGAAATGGTTCAGTTGTTACAAATCAGGGGGTTTGTTCTTGCTGAAATTAATCTCCTGGGAGAAGTTAGATACCCAAACTTCAAGCTTCAGTTGAAAAATTCTGGCTCAAACAAGACTCTGCTTTTTATCCTAACCCAAGTTACTGTTAAAGTGCTTTGTAGAAGTGTAGCAGAGTTATCTAATAGATGAATTTAATAGAAGGTTCCTTGATTGTTTCCTTATATTGCAGTACATTTAATACCTGAAATTTGAATGAGTTTGTAAAGTGTAAAGGACTTAACGTTTCTTTATTCATGTAACTTGTTACACGTACATGCGTCAGCTGTGCTTTAATGTAAATCCTTTTATTTTTTTTCTAATGTCTGTGCCTTTGTAGATTAAGTACAAGGAGAGTATTGGAAAAGGAACTCCAATTCCTGATCTTCCAGAAGTGAAGCGTGTCAAGGAGACCCAGAAGCACATCAGTTCGGTAATGGCCAATACTTTGTATTTACCTGTATACTCATGCAGAGCTCAAGCTCCGATGTTTGGTAGTGTTTGTGGGTATTTTTGTTGAAAAGAGAAAAGATCTCTTAAATCCCTATATTCAGCAGCAGGAAGTTTAAATATCTGAATTTTGCAGTAATCATTACAATCAGCCACTTCCCTGTATTACCTCTGTGACCCTTTCTAAACACAGAACTAGAAACAAAAAATACCTGGATGATGCCTTACAATTAGTCTGAAAAAAATGGATCAGCTAGATAGAACTTTGTGGAAAAAAATAATTGGAGCCTTTTTTGTAGTCACAAAACCAGGAAACAGTACCTGGCTCTTCCCATGTCTAGCTAAGCGTAGGTTTTAATAACAAGCTCTCCTGATTTTGAGCCACTGCTGCTTTACTTTGATCTCTGCATACAGAATTGAGGCAGGATGTGGTCTTGTGATTATTGATACCTCAGATGTTTGCTATACAATGCTGAGGAGCAGTGACACCCATATAATGAGTATCTTACAATTTTCTATTCCTGATTTTAGAAGTACTGTTTCCCTTTTGAGCTGTTTATGATACTAGTGTGTTTTACAGCTCACTTTTGCACAATTGAGTTGTTTTTTTCAAATGATTTTTTTCTTTTTTTCTAACCTTTTACAGAATTTGTTTTCTCTTGCTGTGATTGCTTTATTTTGGGGATTTTTTCATTGTTTCAGTGACATGAAGCAGTGAATTTTTTTTTTTTTTGTTAGCTTGTTTTGTTGCAAGTATTTTACTAGTAGCAAGAAGAACCATGAATGCATTTGTAATGTATTTCTGCACGGTTAGGTCTTAAACCAACCCAGGCATCTCCTATGCAACTCCTTTCATGAAAAATGCATTTTTTTTAGATCAAACAAGTACAGGTTAAGTTAAACCTAGTAATATGAGAGCTAAAACTCAATTGTTTTTCTTACTAGAGACCTAAACCAAAGTAAAATAGTGGTGTTCCAAACAAATAGTCACAGAGATCAAAATGAAATAGAGCCCACAACTAAGTATTTTTGTATTAAACATGTCTACAAAAGGTTCAGCTGTTTCTTAACACCATAACAAAAAACAAAAACAAAAACAAAACCCAGAAATGTTGACTGCCTGAAAAGTTGACTGCCTAATATGTTTCCTAAAGTAAGATGAAAACCAAAACATACCTACCTTTCATGCCAGGTCAGCAGAATATTTAAACTTGTGTCCTACTATAATGAAGTATTCCATTGACTTCAGTGTGTTCAAGCACCTCAACGTAGACATTAAGTACTTTGCTGAGCTGGTGACTGTACTTTTAAAGACGCACACTGAGTAAAATAAACTGTGCACATATTTATATATAATCCCAGATTATATTTACTTATAAACCAGGTAAATTATCTATCCAAATGTTCTGTAGTTGTTGTGGAAGGAATATGATCTTCTCACCTTGCTGGGTGCTTGTGTTCTGCAGGTATTGTACAAAGAGGACCTAGGGACAGGTATCCCAACACCTGTCACTCCAGAAATAGAGAGAGTCAAACGCAATCAAGAACACATTAGCTCGGTATTTAAAAAAAAATAAATTATAACAACTTATTTTTGCATAACATCCTAACATATAATCTCTTTTTCTTCAATCGTTTAGAATGTCACCCTGCTCCTGTCTTTTCCCTGGCAGTATTTTTAACTCATTTATATTTCACCTCTTGGTGCTTTAACTTTTTTTGGTGATTTACAACTTTACATGCATTTCTTTTAAGAACCAAAACTGGAAGTAAGCCGTGAAATTAACATGATGTTTCTCTCCATGTTTGTTTTATCTTAACGCTTTATCTTCTAGTATCTGTAGTCATATATTTACAAAATAATCAACCATCAGCCTCTTCCTTAATATTTGCCTCTAAAACAAGTGTGAAATTAATTAAAAAGTGATCCTAACGCTAAACATAACTCACAAAATAGTCATATTTAATGGTTTTGCCTGTGTTGAGTGTTTTTTTTGTGGAAACTTTCTTGTACCTCACAGGTGTTATACAAAGAGGGCTTAGGGACTGGCATCCCAACACCGGTTACTCCAGAGATGGAGAGAGTGAAACGTAATCAAGAGAACATTAGCTCGGTATTGCTAAATAAAACAAAACCTACCATTTCAAATGCAAATCAAATCCCTTTAACTTCTCCATACTAAATTTTTCTTTCAATTGTTTGTTGAACTTTGAACAACCCTTTCTTAATCAAATCACTAAAACCCTGTCAGTATCTTTATATTTTAATTTTTCACTCAATCTAATGTAATTGTCATTAAATTGTTCCAGCTGTGAGATTTTAACCTCACTTACTTAAAGTAGTTAAGCAGTACCTTATTTTATTTCCCAGTGAAATAGTAGTAGTCTGAGTGATGTCACCCTCCTCCTCAGTAACCAAGTCAATCCTTCTCACAGTCTTCAGACTCACCACACTGGTTGCACTGCAAATGAAAAATGAACTCTTAACAATTCTTGAAGCAAAGCAATCTAATGCAACTAGCGTGTGCTGTCTCTTTTCCTGTTTTTGTTATGTTGGGTGCTTTCTTATATCCTACAGGTCTTTGTAAGAAAACCTGGGTGGTATCCTCATATCACTGCAATATGAAAAAGTAATGAAAATTGCATATATAAGGAAAAAATTACTGTAGTAATGAATTTCTATCCAGATTGTTTCTACTCCTAACACGTTCCAGTCAAATGACCATTATGTCATAATTTTGTTCTATATTTCTGTTTTAATTAGAGCAGCTAACAACCAGTTTTAACTCACTCTGACCCAATTCAGACATGACAGATATGAAATTCAGTCCTGACTTGAGATTAATAGGACAGTTCAGAGAAGCCACTGTTGTTAAACGTTTTGCTACATTTAATTGTCTCTGAGGTAATGTAATTTATGCTGGTGACCCTGTTTAGAAGTCTTAGAGGCAAAGCTGATCATGCAAGATCTTTTGTTTCAGTAAGGAAACTCCTTTGCAAAAGAGTTTTCAGGTAGCTTGGCTCAAGCTATGCTTTGCACAGAACACTCCTGCAGTTCTTGCTGGCATTATCTGTGTGCACCCAGGTGGGATGACAACAAACCTCATAGTAATACTAGTGGATTACTTTGACTGACTTTTTTTTGCTAGCCTTTGAACAAGGCTGACAAAACTCTATTATTTTTCATACTTTGAAGTTTTGCTATATTAAATTACTTGTTTTCTCTCTCTCTCCTCCCTGTCCTCTTTCCTTTTCTTTTTTTTTTTTTTTTTTTAATACTTCCCTGTTGCCACACAGGTGTTGTACAAAGAGGGGCTGGGGATTGGAACCCCAGTACCTGTAACTCCTGAGATGGAGAGGGTCAAACGCAATCAAGAAAACTTTAGCTCGGTATTTTTTTGTCATTTAAGAAAAAAGTTCCCTATAACTACTTAACACCTGTAAATTTTCTACTCTCTCTAATTAACTTAGAAACATCCCCTTTCTGCTATTAAATTTTTTCGTCATTGTTATTTATATTTTATGTACTTATTTTATAAAAGACTTTTTAAATAATCATAATACTTGATGCTTCATGTCCTTTAATTTTTAAAGCTTTTTTTGTGAAGCTTAAGGTATTTTGCATTTTTAAAAAACACTGGCTTTTTTTATTTGCATAATTCCATTCCTCTAACGCCTTATCATTCTGTTGAAGCATATCTAAGAATTAGGATGCAGTTATTTCTAGCTGTCAGACGTGCTCTCAATTTATCACAATTGTTAACTGTTTTATACTTCCTAATTTTTCCTGCATTCGAGTATATTTAGTGGGCACAAAAATTATACGTGTTACCTCCACCAAATGCAGTATTTTTTTTTTGTTCTTAACGTTTTTTAAACTCCCATGTTACCATATAGGTGTTATACAAAGAGGATCTGGGGACAGGAACCCCAACACCTGTCACTCCTGAGATTGAAAGAGTTAAACGCAATCAAGAAAACTTTAGCTCGGTATTTTTTAATTTGAAAAGCAGAAAGTTACCTTTTAATCTATTTTTAAAAACTTTTAACAACAACAAAAAAAATCTTGCTCCCTTGTAATCAACTTACACAAAAAATAATATCCTGGTCCCTTTGAGATTTTTTTTCTTCTTTCTAATTGTTACTTACATCATTCTTGTTGCTCTTTTTTTATTACATCATCTTAATAACTTTTAGTTCCACCTTTCTTTTGAGTTTGATTATCTCTTCCCCCCCCCCCCCTTAAACAACCTGTTTTCCTTTTCTTAGTCACAACAATCCTTAGTTTTGTTTTGTGTGGTGGGTTTTTTTTTCCTGATTTTACTTACTTTATATACAAGAACTAAACTATTCAGCACGTGATACAAATCTGTGAAAATGACCTCAGTATAACAGTGCTCTAATACATGCTAGTGTAACCTGCTGTGATGTTTATAGAATGGGTAAATGAAACAGAGTTGATTTCTGTGTTCCTTTAGTGTTGTATTTGATACTTTCTGCCTTTAGGAAGTCTTTAATGGTCTATTGTTGCACAGACAGTTTGTCTATACAGCTCCTGAGAAGCAAATAGAGAAGGTATTCTAGCTTTCTGCCAAAAGGCATTGCAGAGTATTAGCATTTAGCTGTATAGTTTTGAGGTGCATTTTAATTTTTCTCTTTTATTCCAAGCTTTGGCTCGGAGCGACCTCGAAAAACATTCAGTCTGTTTTCTCAGCAAGCTATGTGGGTTACTGTTGTTTGCTTGTTCCTTTTTACTTTTTTTAATATAGCCATGTTACCCTACAGGTGTTGTACAAAGAGGATCTGGGGACAGGAACCCCAATACCTGTCACTCCTGAGGTTGAGAGAGTCAAACGCAATCAAGAACACATTAGCTCGGTATTTTGTGGAGGAAAAGAAGTATTCCCTTTAACTCCACTTAAACAGACCTTTTTAACCTATATTAAAATTGGACAATTCCACTCCTTACGTCCATGTTAATCAACTTACAAAAACATCCTTTCTTCTTCACTGTATTATATTTTCCAATATTACTGACCTAACACTTCTTCATATATGTAATTATTTACATGATCCTAAATATTTTTAACCATTTTGCTCCCTGTTCCAACTTCCTTTTTCTTTTGTATGTGGGGTGTTTTTTTTTTTAAATCCTGTCGGTTTCCTGGTTTAATGCTGTTATTATAGAAGAGGGAGGGTCTGACTTTCTAGCACGCTTCCGTGATAGTCTAAAAGCTCTCCTCCACCATGAAAATATATTTGACCTAAGAGGCTTCTGTGTTGGATTTGTCACACCTGCTAAGATAAAACCATAGACTTCTTTGCCTTCAGACCCTCACGGGTGCAATCCAGTCTGCGTTGCTTCCAGGAGTAGCTTTTAGGGTACATTAGAGCAGGCTGAGCTCCAGCACACTCAAATATTTGACTTCATGTTGGATGTAATTATTATTGAGTTGTGATTATGTTTTTGGATGCTTCTTGTTACTACACAGGTGTTGTACAAAGAAAGCGTGGGGACTGGAACCCCCACCCCTATCACTCCAGAGATGGAGAGGGTCAAACGCAATCAAGAAATCTGTAGCTCGGTACTTTGCTAAGAAAAAAAGTTCCCTTTAATGCTATTTAAAAGAACATTTTAACAGTTTTAATAATGGATGTTGTAACACTTGTTCCAAAATAATGCCAACCCTGATTCTAAAGCAGCTTACAGAAGTGATTACTTCTTACTCATGTCTTACTGTGGTTTACAGCAGTGACTTTAACTTCTTGCAGTTTTTACTGTTTTTTAAGAATGATTTTAATGCCCTATTCTAATCATAAAAACATTTAACAAACCCATTTTTTCTGCAATGCTGATGTTCTTTTTTTTTTTTTAAAAAAGATGATAATTTACAAATTCATAACATCCTCAGCCCCTCAATATGGTTATGTTTGTGGTTTCATTTATGTAGTACTTACTTACACTATTTGTTACGAGTGATCCTGTAGTTAAAAAGCCAGTATGTCAACCCTACTTCTCTAGTAAAATATTGCTAAGTACCTTCTTAAAAAATATAAATAATATCTAGGCCCCGAGAAAATAAATACAAGAAAAAAATGGCTTAGGCTTTAAGTTTGTTTATGGCTAGCTTTTTATTTATTGTTGCTTTCTTTGGCTCCTTTCTTATGTCTCATAGGTGTTGTATAAAGAAAACATAGGGAAAGCAACCCCAACACCTGTCACTCCTGAGATGGAGAGAGTCAAACGCAATCAAGAAATCATTAGCTCGGTATTTTTAACAGGAAACCAGTTCCTAAAGATCTGAATGAAGTGTTTAACATAACTGTAGTGGTTTAGTAATCTGTGCTTTCTAACTTCATAAAATGAATCTGCCATGTAGCATAAACCTCCTACCTTCTGTGCTTACAAACAAATCGTAGATCTTCTATTTAACACTGTATGAACCTGCTAGAACTAGGTTTGATCTATTTTGGATGGGTATTGTTTCTCTGCAACTTTTTTTAACCCTTTCTTACTACAAGTGTGCTTTCATGCAGAGTTAATTCCATACAGGGACTATTTCTGCATCCTTGTAGATTAATGGCAAAGCTCCCATTGCTTCTTTTGGGAACAGCATTGTGCCCCAAATCTAACCCTTTCTAAGTGTAATGACTCAAAAGCTATATTTTGTGTTGGTTTGGGTTTGGGTTTTGTTTCTTTTTGTTGGTGGTGCCTTTTTAATGATGTTTGGATACTCCCTTGTATCTTGTAGGTTTTGTACAAAGAAAATGTGGGGAAAGTGACCCCAACACCAATCACTCCAGAGATGGAGAGAGTCAAACGCAATCAAGAAATCATTAGCTCGGTACCTTAAAATAGATATATTTCTTTTTTCCTTTTTGCTTATATCTTAATAAAGTAACATTCTAACTACCTACTGAAAGTTGATTTTAATATAAAAAATAGATATATTTGTTTCTGCAAATTAATCCTCCTCTTCTAAAATAAAATTACTTTAGTGTTAGCAGTCTGATCCAGAAATGGAGGCCTTTTCTACAACTCGGTTTGTGTACCTGTGGGCTCTATCCAGACAATATTAAGAGCTTAGCATCCTTTGGTGAAGATATTCAGGTGTGTCTCTATGCTTAGTGTTTAAGCTTTCATTGGCTTTTCAGGGGTATTTGACTTTAGCAAAAACCAAACAAGAAACCCAACCACCCCACCCTGAACAATCCCCCCTCTCTGACCTGTATTGCTGTCACAGGTGACTTAGGATGCTTTAAACAGAGTAACACAAAAGGAAGGACTGTTCCTGTTCTGGGTGGTCTATCAGCAATAGCTTTTAGGTGGCCTGATGGACTGGGGAGATGTGTAGGTGTAAAGCTGCAGTGATACCAGACACCCATCCTCAACGCCCTTCTTTATTTGGCTGCCTAATGTCAGTGCGGCAACAGAACTCCCTCCTCCCTCCCAAAAAGGTCACGAATTCCTTCAAATACAGATAAAACAGCAGATACCATTTCTTAAATAGTTTTCTAGGGCCACGGGCAGCTTGCCCCAGCTTATGGAGCCATCGTCATAGTTGTAGCTGGATAGAGCCCTTCTTTGTTAACCAGAAAAATAACAAGCTTTTCTTCTACAGTTTATTTTTCTTACCCTTCCTTACAGCAGTAGATGTTTGGCTTTTGTGCAGTGCTGCATATCATAATCAGTCGTGACTTTTTTTTGAAATTTGATAACAAAGTAATGATTTGTGTTCAAAGCCGTTTGATTTTGGGGTGTTCTAAGATACCGGATACATCTTCTGTATCCCACAGGTGTTGTACAAAGAAAACTTGGGGCGAGCAACCCCCACACCTATCACTCCAGAGATGGAGAGAGTCAAACGCAATCAAGAACAGATTAGCTCGGTATTGTCTGGAAGAAGTAAAGGGGATGATAGAGCACTTTTTTTTTTTTTTTTAAATAACTTAAGTCTGCTTGGTTTTATTTAACCCTCTAATTTTTTTTCCCCTCAAACTTAGAAAGTCATCTCAAACTTATAGTACTTAAAAGATTTTTTTTTTTTGTCAATTAACTTTTTAATACTATTTTTCCTCTGACTTTTTTTTTTCTTTCATAATGGATGGTGTTTACTCTAAACCCTGTAACATTACAGTTTTGAATTCATACATTTGTGACTCTGAGTTACTTTGTGATCTGTAGGTTGTATACAAAGAAGGCTTAGGGAAGGCAACACCTACACCGGTCACTCCAGAGATGGAGAGAGTCAAACGCAATCAAGAGCACATTAGCTCGGTACTGAAAGAAGACAGACAACCACCTTATATTAAAAATAACCATTCTGAACAAAAACTCCACTTCTAGTTTAACCTTATTTTCTCAGTTTTCCTTATTTTTGCCTATTTTTCAGTTTGATTTTTACCTTTTGCTCTAGCAAATAACTTCTTAGATGCTTTATTTCCCAAGATCTTTTCTACCCCTGCAGTGATGAGTATGCTTAAACAATAACACCATTTACAGAATGAGCTATTAATTATTCCAGTCTGACTTGTGGACACCTTTTTGTACACTGTAGGTTTTGTACAAGGAACATCTGGCAAAAGGAACTCCAACACCGATGACTCCAGAGATGGAGAGAGCTAAACGCAATCAAGAAAACATCAGCTCGGTATGTTCTATTCAGCCAATAAATGAAAATATATTAAAAAGTAACATTTCAATCCCTGAAATCCTTACTCAAATTAACAGTGCAGGTGTTAACATAACTACCTAGCTACCTAGTTTGGAAATATGAAGTAACCATACTAAAATAAAATCCTTTAATACTTGCTTTTTACTTTCTGCTGCAATTGAGTATTTCTTTCTGTGTGATTAAGTGCTTTAGTGTAGGATTGGGTTTTTTTTTTAAATACCAGTTGAATTTCAAGTAATGCTGCATTCAAGTCTCATGCTAATATCTTCTGTTTTTACTGGTCTTATACTGTATGACAGATAAAATGATCATTCTTCAGTAACAGTATATTTTGTTAGATTTCTGACATTCTATATAAAAATATGACAAACCTGGAAATAGCCTTTTTTAGGGCCTTCTTTGCTAACCTGTTACTCCAGAGGTAAATCCTGACATACCCCATCTTGTAAATACTCTACGATTCTGTGATATGTTATGTATATAAATAGTTTGGGTTGGAAGGAACCTTTAAAGGTCATCTAGTCCAACCTCCCTGCCATGGGCAGGGACATCTTCAACTAGATCAGGTAGCTCAGAGCCCCGTCCAACCTGACCTTGAATATTGTACAGTCTCTGCAAATGTTTACAGAAGCATGATGCAACTGTTATCACTCAAAACCAAAACTACAAGCCCAGCAAAAATTGTAGTATTTCAATGATAAATACAGGTCAAATTATGTTGTCTGTTTCACATGGATAACTTCACTAAAGTCAGTGAGGTGTATGTCAAATATATGAAAATAGTACCTAGAACATTATTACTGCATTACCTCTACCTGTTGTTACAAGGTTAAAAAAGGTAAGCATCTTTTAGTTAATAAAAGGAACGTTTGGGATCAAGTCCAGAGCTGTCCATGTCTTATAATTATGAAAAAGAATTTTGCTTTGCATTCTAATGTTATTCACTACCACAGCTCCTGCTTTTTTTTTTTTTTTTTTTTCCTTTGCCAGACTGGTTCACTACAGCTCATTCCTCATGATGCAGAAGTAGTTTTGTGCCCTGTGCTCACTTCCTTTCTCTCATCTGGCAGGTTCTTTATTCAGATAGTTTCCGAAAACAAGTACAAGGCAAAGCTGCGTATGTGTTGGATACACCTGAAATGCGGCGTGTACGAGAGACCCAGAAACATATCTCTACGGTAAGAGCATTTATAGACATATTTTTAAATTGGCAAGTGATTTAAATAAAAAATAACCTTGTTCCTGAGACAATCTGGGGTTGGCAGCTCAAGGACAATGTATATATACTAAGTTTGGTTACCCTAATTCTTAAATACTAAAGGCAAGAGTGACTGCAGGAAAGGCATGTTTGGGATTAGGCTCTCTCATTGTTCCTTGGATTGGAAAAAGCAAAAGTTCAGAACAGCAGTGTACCTCTCTACCAGAAATTCACCTGAGGTAAGCAGGAATAAAAATTATTCATCAAAGCTACAGAGAACAGACATCTCATTTTAAATTGCAGGTGAAATACCATGAAGATTTTGAGAAAAGCAAAGGTAGTTTCACACCTGTAGTTACTGACCCCATTACAGAACGTGTGAAAAAGAACATGCAGGACTTCAGTGACATTAGCTATAGGGGCATTCAAAGGCGAGTAGTAGAAATGGAGCGAAAGCGTGTGGACCAGGATCAAGAGAATCTCACAGGTAAGCAGAACCTAGGTTTTATAATCACCCAAGTACTACTTTTATACAAAACACAAGCTGACCTTGCTGAGTTGTTTTATTTAAGCTCAGCCATATCAATTCAAATTTGTCATTACTTAGAGATGATGTTTTTATCGAAGTCCATTTTGAAAATATTCTCTTATAGCAGCTGTAAATCACCTTTGGTCTGCTTGTCCCATTCTGCCCAACTTTATAATCTAACCCTAGACTTACATTTCTTTCTTACATTTTTAACTTCTTCTCTATGCATACTAGAGAAATATCTTGGCTTACCTGACGTAGATTAAATAAAAAAAAAAAAGCCTAATCTGTGCTATAGATTTGAGAAACACAGATTTATGAAATAATGCTTTCCCTTTTCTGATATACTTTTACTCTGATTCAGGACAGACATGTGCTGCTCAAGCTCTCTAAAAAGCTGCTTGAGCTACAGCTTCTCCTCAGAAAATGCTATTTCTCTTTCAGGTCTTCGCGTGTGGCGCACTAATCCCGGGTCAGTCTTTGACTACGACCCAGCAGAAGACAATATTCAGTCCAGAAGCTTACATATGATCTCTGGTTTGTTCCATAGGCTGTACTGTTTGTGCGAAATAGGTTTTATACTTGTGCACGTGCAATCATTAAAACTGGTAGCTTGGGGATACTAGCGCACAGCTTAGTGCTCAACCTATGCAAGAACACAGGTGCAGACTTACATGCGGACTTCACACCTTGTTAAACAGAGCTGAGGTTTCAACAGTTACACAGTTCTTGTAAGAATTAATGGTAACTAGAGAAGTTGTCTATACCTCTTCTTCAGCAGCATACGTAAATGTAGCTAGATGTTTAATATAGCTATTTCTCAAAAAATACGTTGTTAATCTTACTATAAAGTGATCTAATACAGGCATGAAGAGCATTGTTTATATGATCCAAAGATAGCATGATCCAGTTGCTTACTTGTAACATGTGCTTCCTTTTTAAATAACTAAAAATACTGCTTCTCAGTTACTTCTTTTTTTAAACTCCTTTCCTGCTAATTGTTTGAGAAGAGATGTATCCTGAATGAAACTTTTGAAAGTAGATAGCACTAAAAGGGAAGAAGGTTGGAGAAAGAAAAAAAAAAATCTGAATATTAAAGGTAACAGGGACATAGTAACTGTGCCTTTTTGAGTAGAACTTCAAATATTTTTTAAAAGCACTGGCAAATACCATTGAGTAACCATAAAAATAGACTGTGATTAATTCACTTTTTGCCATAAACTGTAAAACACAGTAACCAATTCTGCTTAGCACGCATGGGGCTTGGTCAGTTTTCTACTCAATACAACCACTTCTACGGGTATGGTAATAAGGGGTAGAGTGCTTTGGTTATTTTTACAGAATATGTATGCACACATGTAGATGTATAAAGTAACTTGTATATGTGTGTGTACATGTGTATTTTTATGTGTGTTTCTCTGTACAAAACAAAGCCATGAATCTGTTCCCACTGCCTTCTCCTTGCAGTCCAAGCCCAGCGCCGCAGCCGGGAGCACTCCCGCTCTGCCAGTGCCTTGAGCCTGAGTGGTGGCGATGAAAAATCTGAACCCTCGGACGGCGCCGATCAACATTTGTCCTACTACAGCAACGGGGGCTTCTTTGCCACAACTACAACAGGTATGAGGAGAACAAAGATGACATTTATTCACGTATGAGGGCAAATGGTATCCAGGCCATCAGGCAAGGCAGTACTGATCACTGGCTCATGTTCAGTAATTCCTTTAGCCAGGAAAAAAAAGCATGAAAGTACACCTGCAAAATGTTGAGTTATGGACTTAACTAACAGAGGTAAAGTTGTATTTCAGTAGGTAAAAGGCAGATTTGACCCACCTAATGACCTATCCCCTGATCTTTATTCAGAGCAATCTAACCCTATTGCCAGTTCTGCAATAAACAACACACAATGTATTTTCCTTTTCTAGTGGGCTACAAACATGCTAAAACCATAGAGTTACCACAGCAACGGTCATCGTCAGTTGCCACCCAGCAAACAACGGTATCATCGGTTCCTTCTCACCCCTCTACTGCTGGTGTAAGTAGCATTGATCGGTTGTATTGACACACAATCCCACGCTTGCGGCAGGAGTTAAATCTGAGTACCTACCAAAGGTGCACAGCCCTGGAGGTCTCCAGTAGCTGGTGGTGCATGCTCCATCATGCAGATGATGTTAATCCAGGATTGAGAACCCACTGGGCTGAAGCTTGGTACAAAACTAGGTGAAGGAGTAACATTCACTGAAGTGGGATAGACCCTCACCTGTTCTTGAAAACTTTACATTAATGCTTCTTCCTACTCCTGAGATTGAGTCTTAGAGTAGATATATGGCAATGGATATAGCATCACCTCCCCACAAGATCTGCTGGGAGGCAACACCTTGAAGTTATGGCTGGAACCACCTGGAGCTGATACTGCTCAAATATGCTCTGAAAACATTTTGTTCAGCTTCAGTGTCACTAAAACACACAGGCTCTAACCTAAGGTAATGTGGTACTCTAGGTAGCTAAGGTATTTAGTTATTGAGAAGGAACATTTTGTGATCTGAAACAAGATTGAAAAGATCAGCCAGGCACAGCCATCAGTCATACTTTCAGCATACTGAAATGAGTCAAAACCTAACTTGCCCTTAGCCTGCTCTTAGATTTTGATTCTTGCCAACAGCTATGGCTGTCAGTGCTGACAGCAGGGGTATATAAATGTGTGTCTCATTTTTTTGCCCCCTCCCCTCTCCTTTCTTAAAACCCACAGAAGACCTACCGGGCCATGTATGACTATATGGCAGCTGATGCTGATGAGGTTTCCTTCAAAGATGGTGACACAATTGTAAACGTACAAGCAATTGATGAAGGCTGGATGTATGGGACTGTCCAGAGAACCGGCAAGACTGGCATGCTGCCAGCCAACTACGTAGAAGCTGTCTAAACCAAAGCACGTCTTTGCATAAAGTGTTATCTGCATGGCACAGACATACCGGCACATCTTAAAATGTAAGCCTTAGAAAAGGGTTTGTAACACTTTTTCCAAAGTGCCTTACTGTCTTCCATGTTGATAGTGCCTTATGAACCATGATGTGGGCAAAAAAAACCAAACCAGGAAAAAAAAAATAACTGCAGAGCAAAACAGTCTTGAAACATCCTTGAAAAATGTTTTTGAGAATTACCTGTAAACACACTACTAGGCATTGCTCATGAGAACTGTATTTCTTCCAGTGTCAAAAAAACCTCCCCAAACTGTAAACATTGCCTAGACTTTCAAACATTTCAACACCACATACCATCACAGTGTTTAACTATGCTACAACTGCAATCCAGTTCAGCATCTCTGAAATTCTATCATCTATACATGTACTTAAGACTACAACTCCCAAGTATTACTTTATTCATTCATTCTCCCATAAAGAGAGTATTTTTATGGTCTATTCTAAACTGTTTGAATGTATTCACTTCTTTTCCATATAAGCAACATTTAAGCTTAGTATCTCAAACCAATGTCTAGCCAGGGGCGGTTAACAAACCAACCAACCCAAAACCAAAAGCCTCTCCTTCTGCTTGCTGAGCTGTTATGCATGTGTTTTCCATGCAACTGTTCTGGGGTCAAAAGCTGTTATTACTTGTAAATTAGTGACTAAATAAAGCTAATGTTTCTGCAGTATGTTCGATGTATTCACTCATGCTGAAGAGCAGGAATCAATCTCACAACAAACTGGCTTTGTTCAGAAAACTGTATTGAGAAAGGGAAAGAACCCAGAAGGTGATGGGGGATGCAACAGCCACAACAGAAGTTCAACCTGGAGGAGCTGTGAAGGAACTGGACAAACTGTGTCATACCTGAACAGCGGTTACCTGCCTCATCTGCTGAAACATCTGGTACCAGCCAGTCTCCAAGAACAGAAGTAGTAAGAAATCACTGTATACTGTGTCCAAGATGATAGACTAAAGGTTAAGAACAAGTTAACAATAGAGTTGCAACATTAACTCTGAGAACCTTTGTTCAAGGGGAATCACAGCACATCATGGTGTACACCACCAGCTTGAAAGGGAACCATCCTTCCTCAAAGCAGGATTCAGAATTGCCAGCACTGAAGGGCGTTAGTTAAACAAAGACATTAGCACCCTTTTGAGATGCGTTAGGAACATCCTTATCTGTACAGGTCACTGGATACAAAACAAACCTAAAGAGGCAGATTTGGAATCAAAATAACATTTTCAAGAAAACCAGAAAACCTACAGACAACTCATCACTGGCACTGTTCACATTATAGCTCCAAGACACCTCTTTGTCCTGTTCATTTGCTTCATGAGATGCAGGAACAGGGCAAAGAGTATCTAGAGTCCTGCTGACAAGATACTACCCCGTCCTTGAGGACCTGCTCCTACCTTAATGCAGCAGCGATGACTTTCCAAGGTGCCTTCTAACCTCGTGAATCCAAAGCAATGCTGAGGGAAGGCTAAGCAGATCTGAAGGGGAAAAACAACTCAACCCAAAACCACCAAACTACAACACTAACAAGTTTGGGAACTATTTGCTGTTTTATTTGCCCATGTTTTAAGTTCTAAAACCACCTGCAGCAACTCCTTTCAATAAACGTCCATTTTGATAGCTACAGTACAATATATACAGATCAGATTTCCAGAGTAAAACCCAAGAACTCTCTCTGAAGGTCTCTGAGAAGCAGCAATGCATTCCATGCAGTTAAAACTCAAGATCATAAATTACTAACCAACATTTGCCATGATAAGTCTGTACATAATATACAATGAGCTCTTCTTATCAAATCCATTCATTTCCCCAAGGAAAAAGTCTTCTCCGCAGAAGGAGAACTACTGCAAGCAAAGAACATGGGAAAAAGCCTGAGAAGTTTTGCAAAGTCTTTTACCTGTAAGGGTACATTTCATTATCAGCTTCTTAGTGCGATTCTTACAAAAATACATGCAAAAATAGATGTCATCCAGTTGTCAAATACCAGGTTCCTGGACTGTTGCTGCCATAAGGAAGTAAGCACAGCTTATCTCAATATAAAATAATGCTGAAAATAGAGCCACTGCCTGTCAGAGTTTCAGCAACTTAAAAGGAAACAAACAGGGGCAGCAGATGAGCAGAGCTGCGAGATCTCTCTCTTACCAAATAGTAAGAGTTTGCAGCAGTAAGAACACTTCAGATTTGAAAAAAATAATTTAACTACTCTGTTGGTTTGGTTTCACAGTCTTTGCTATTGCACAGCTTTATCAAGTTTTCTTTCAAGTAGTGAAAGAAATATGCATAGCAATCCAATACAAATACCTCTAATAGGGAATAAACAATCCCACAAATTAGAACAACAATGACAAAAAACCCCGGAGGAAAAAAAAAACCACAATACCTTTTGCTCATATAGGTGTTAAAAAAAAAAATCTCTATAGTACAAGATGCACACTTTAAGGAATAATTCACCAGTAAGAAAAGCAGTTTTTTGGGAAAATTTTTGTAACAAAATCCTCCTTACTTAGAAATGATAAACAACTAATCAGAACTTTCATGGGGTGGGGATTTCCAGCGGGACTGCAGGTTCTTCATGATACAGTTTGTCATGCCAACCAGTTTTTCTTGCATCTCAAAAAGTTGGCTCCCTGAATAGCTGTGAAGATCTTCGGAGGTCAGCTGAGCAGCAAGTGCATCAATCTGGCTCAGAAGATCTGCTGTGGGCTGGTCATTTGTATTCGCGACAACGGGTTCAATCAAATCTGAAAAGGAAGGAAAGTAGGGCAGTGCAGTCTATGCGTTTGGATTTAAATCTAAGCAGAATTATGCTGCAGCAGAATGGTACAGCTTTTGTACAAAATAACATATTCAAGCAGTCTACAAAGTATTTGTTCCACATAGTATGAGAGCTTCTGACAAAGGCAGCCCTCAGCACTCCATGCTACCCTTCTTTATGGTGACTTTCATTATATTTGATCACAATTCTACAATAAAACTAAGGACAGAAATGAAAGTATTTGATCCTATTCAGATACTGCCAGTGTTCTTCGAGACGTGTTATCCCAAAGTCCAACTTTTAAACTGGACAGCTAAGGAGAAGTTACTCCTGAGTTCTTTGTTCTCCAGTTAACCAAACGCTTCAAGTATCTTGTAGGAAGAACAAATATGGATTCCTCTGTTTGAGCTATCAGGCGAAACTCCCCAAATGCCCAGGAGAACTCAAATAAAAATCTAGGCACCCAAATCCAAAATGGGTATCCAGGGAATCACCCCTCTCCTGTCCCACCCCCCTCAGGATGAGGCACCACATAACTATCTCTGCTTCATCTTGTTTGTTTCTGAGTGCCCAGAACCACAGCAGTTAATACAGTATTAAGCAGCTCAGGAGACATACCCCATTGAGATTCAGAAAATTAAGTACCAAAAGCCCTGCCTAACTTGTTCTTCACATACTTAGGCAAGCTTGTTTAGGGAAAAGCAGCATCTTTACCTCAAAATATGTAAGAAGTTTTAAAAAGCCATTGCTACAGGGCTTCATGAAGTGGCTAACTCAAACACCCATCTAATGTGCTAATATTGGCTATTAACACACTCTCTCTCAACTCCCCCCCCCCCCCCCCCACCACACAAACCACCCCTCCCACG